TATTCTTTCACTCAGTGTGTACCATCCAGAATGGTCAGACAGTGTGCACATGAGTGTTTGTAAATTAGGTCAACCAGGACAGCTGGAGGTAACACGGAGGTCACTGCTATAGTTGCAGCGATGTAACACAGAAGTTGTAGTGGTGACTTACTTTCTGAATGAAAACAAGTGCTTTTTTTTTTTTCAAATTAAATCCAAACTGCCTTTGACAGTAAGTTGTTCCTTTATATTCCACTCTATGTCAGCAAAAAGCTTAATGCAAAACACACACTCTCTGATAACATTCAGCTGTTTGACATCAGATATGGGAATATGAAAATTCAAGAGAAGAATTCAAATGCTGCTAAATGAGTAACTAGAGCTAGGCTATACTCAAACTGACACAGAGTAAACTGATTCGTTTTAGGTGAGGATTCCTGTTTGATCTTTTTTTTTTTTTTACGTTTTTCTTTCCCGGGAGCAGAGATATCCAAAGAGGTGTCCTCTGTGTCCTCACTCAGTGTCCGACGCTGATCAAGCTGGTGCTGAAGCAGTTGAAGCTTTACAGGTCTTATAGCTGGTTGCTGCCTGTGATGAGGATATTATGAAGCTGAAGTTTCTAGATTAAAGCTGTGAATACTGTATTAAACGAGTATGATGCAATAGTTGCTTGTGAACCAAATTAAAATATCAAAGCAGGTAATTATAGAAATATCATCTAAAGTCATATCTATTTTTAAGCAGTTGGGGGTAAAAACATGTATACATTAAGACTGTTAAAATATATTTGGCTGGGGCGTTAGTGGTCAGTGCAAGTGCCCCACTTGAGGAGGCTGTGATCCTCAGGGCGGGCAGCCCGGGTACGAGTCTGGCCTGTGGCTCCTTTCCCACATGACATTCCCAACTCTTTCTCTCCCTGACTTCTGACTCTTCCACTGTCCTATCTCTAATAAACGCCTAAATCCCAAACATAATCCCTAAAAAAATGTATTAATATTTTTTATATATCATTAATTTCAGAAAAATATCCAGTTTCTAGTCATTTTAAGTAAGACCTGCTGTAGCGCTGACATGTTTACTTTTCTGATGTAATATTCTGTGTTCTCTGATGGAACAGCCTGCAGGTTCACACACTCAATGAGCTACCGTTCACAGCAGATATCACCCAACATGCAAGCCTATATCAGTCAGTAATTCCCAGCCATCATCCTTGAACTAAAAACCTCCTCTAAGCAGCCACACACACACACACACAACTACACACCTTCCCACGCAGATCTGCTGCCCACACACAGCTCAGTTATGGTGTGTGAGCTCCCTGCCACGACTCACGTGTCGTTTGCTGCTTTATGCTGACATAGCAATCACTCAGACAGCTTCAGCAATCAAGTCAAACTGAGAGCGAGAGCCTCTGCAGATGGACAAATCACAACCTGAGCCAAAGGGTGGGAGTTGTTAGACTCCTCCGGCCATGGCCGGTTAGTAGGGGCTTAAAATACAAGACTATATTAACATCAGCTCTCTCTACAGGATTCTGTAGGTTCATGAAGGAATGTTGTGCTCACTGTGCCAAAAGGTTTGCAATAAGCTCGTATTTATTACATTTACAACATTGATACTTCAACCAAAATACTACCATGAGCTTACTTATCTTCTAGAAACAATGCTTATCGACAGGAAAATGACTAACAGGTGGGCAACATTACACCATTCGTCGAGGGGGAGGACACTAAAGAGGTGGAAAAGCCCACAGAGACAGGCTGGATTTTAGTGAAAACTCTACCTGTTGCTAATTGGTTGGGATAGTGTTGTGCATCTTGGTCTGACCTTTTCCCATTTACAGACCCTGAACAAGTTCATCCTGAGAAGATATTATCAAAATCTGACAAAAAGTAATCGATTAGATTCTCAAACCCATCTTTAAGCTTCACTAGAAATTAGTAAGTTGCATGTGACCAGTTTGGACAATGAAGGATCTGGATACATTTTATTAACAGTCCTGTTATTGTTTAAAGCAGCCATACGATTTCAGCTTGAAAGTGGTGCATTAGCTTATGGTGTTCAAGAGGGACATGCATGGGGAATAAAGAAACTCAGACAACACAATTACAGTGCCACTGCACCTTAAGAAAAGGGGGGGGGGGGCTGTAAAGGAAGCAGGTCACAGGACTTGTGAATGAAAAATGTAGTTCTTTGAACGAATTATTGGGCGCAAAAAATTAAAAGTTAGTGCACCAGTAACAAGAATGTAATAACATTGCCTGGAGCCCTGAGGCAATTAAGTAAAACGTTCGGACAGGAAAGGTGTGAGGGGGGATATAAACTCGTGAGTTTAGCATAAGAGTGGTCGCAGGGTTTACTTCATGCATTGTACTAACGTTCACAAGCTTCTGGGCAGGCCTTGAGCAGGACATAAAGCTGAGTTCAAGGTTTCTAGGGTCAGAGGAGTTACCTTTCAGTGAGGCTTTAGTCGACAGCTGCAGCTGAAGAACCTCCTGACGAAGAGAGCCTGAATGTGATGTGCGGATGAGGAATGAAATGATGTATGAAATGAAGGGGGTGCAAATTGGAGGAAGAGGAGAGTGGTTGGGCAGATCAATGAATGAATGAATGAATGAATGATGGATATGATGCAGAAATGATCATGATGGAGAAAACATCAGCAGCGAGTCCATTTTTCCGCATGCATAAAACTTTGCATTGCAAAATACGATGCACAAGAATCAGTAATGCACATCTCATAGGCCTATAACTAACTAAACAGGAATTGCAAATATAATAGAAACACCAAACTTTATACTTCTCGTGATCAACTGCTTAGTTAAACCCTTATCTCAATGGCAAAAGTCTACATTCAACAAACGTGTTGGTGTACATTTAGGCGCGAGCACGTGTACTCCTCCCGGTGACGTCACTCCATAAAACGTGAGGAGTCTATAACGCCCCCTACAGGAACATGCATGGTCTGCACCTTTACTGTACATTGATAAAAAACGTGTAGCAGCCTGTGACCAAAGTTGAACTGCACATGAACATAACCCATGCATATGTACATTTACTGTAAATCTTGTTGCAGGGGGGTTTCCTCTTCAGCTCATGTTTCACCTGTTTCATTTGGCATTGGTGCTAAAAATAACTTGCTGTTAACCTTAACCCTACAAGTAGAGCTCTAGCTAGCCATGGCCCTGAAGTCGGAAGAGACATTCCTAAAAAGCATTGCACTTTGTTGGACTACTCTTTACAGTTTCTAAACCATAACTCCTTGAAAGTAGTGACTACAAAATAACCTTCACAAACACAACCAGCAGCACAAATGTCCAGACACATGGCAGTATGTGGCAGGCTAGGGGGAAAACCATTAGAGTGCACACTAGTTAAGGTTAAAGGAGCAACAAGCTGTTTTATTGTTATTGTATATGCTAAATGATTTGAGCTAAAGGTGTGGTGAACTATACGAGTCTCTCGACTAGCACATGGCCTGTGGATACCTGACAGCAGCAGACTGATAAGTTAGCATCACAGCTAGTGCTACTTACCCGGCTTGCCGGAGCCACGTTTCCCCTTTTTACTCCGAGGCATTTTTTTTGTTGAAGCGCTTTGATCCTCAGTAACAACAAAGCTAGCTGAGGGTTAGCTAGCTGAAGTTAGCCTACTTCAGTCTAACTGTCAGATAAACGCCTCACAGGTCTGACAGTAGATGTGAAGACAGCAGCAGCAACAGATGGTTATAATGTCTCCGTGGATTATCTTGACAACCTTTCAAAAAGGTCCCAGAGTTTCTCCTTCTTACACACTTTTGTTGACACTTCGGCTAACTAGCGTCCTTGTCGAGTACGAACCACCCGTTCAGTCAACTCCTCGTCTTCTTCAAATAAACACTTAAACCGGTGACAAAAAGTAACTTTTCACTGTGTATTATCTATGAGTGTCCCCGGGTAATCTATATCTTATACTAGGTTTAGATACAAAGTATTTTCCAAAGTGTTTTGGGCGGAGTTTGGAGCACGCTGTCGTCGTCAAGTCCACCATCTTCCCTCAGTAACGACTGAATAGAGCGCTGTGTCGGACCGGCTCGTGCTAGAGGCAACAGATGTGCCGTGGGCGTGGCTTAAACCGGAAACGTTTTGATTACTTTGCCTCTGCTTGCATATGCCTTTATATACAAATACATATGTATACATACTGTATGTCTATGTCTGCCACATGCATATACAACGCTCACATTGATTTGTCGGTGTCTTTTGTACATTAAAGTCCCTGTAAACCAAAAAATATATATGTTTTTTTGTTTTTTATACAAAAGAAGAATGTGTTATTAACCACCAGGCCAAATTTCAGCAATGAAAAAAACGTATAAGTTTATAAAACGAAGCTTCAAAATCATGAAAAATGTAGCTGTTCTCTCTCCTCTGGGATGCTGTGGGCGTGTCCATAGAATGCGCCGAAGCCACGCCCACTCGCGGAGAGACGTTCCCTAATAAGGCACTTATAAGTTATATTGTAGGTAGTATTGCTGGAAACTGGAGTTCATGGAGGTAATTAATATTCACATTTTAATGTCTCAGCTGAAATTAACACCGAATTTTAATCACAAACGATGCATTTGTATTCTTTAAATACCACATCTGCATCATTTCAAAAGCATAATTTGACATTGATTGTTTTGATTAAATAACAAAACAAATGCTCACTAAAATTTCAACTATCACATTAATTTCAGACAATTCAAATAATGATTAATTACATCACTAATCACTGAGGGAATAGCAAATTCGTGCAGATCTCTTTTACACAGCTCTGTCGTCCTTGTTAGTCTTATCCTGTTCTGTATCTCGGGACCCCTCTGAACTCTTTCATGGGAGCCAAAGAGATAATGGGATTATCTGCTCACAGTTATATAAAGAGAACAATTGAGTTTAGAAACACGAATGCAATCTTGTTTTTAAAAAAAATCAGTGTAAAAAAAAAATGATACAACATTTTTTTTAGTCAATAAACATATTTTATTCATAATGTTTTAAGAACAATTCAGTTAAACATGAAAATCCACAGTGTTGTACTAAGTGCACTTTCAAGGTATGAATCAGTAGTATTATGTTATAATTATGTATTTATTTTATAAATATAGACATTAGAAATACCAAAGACGTTGTTTAATAAAGAAATCACATTTCATTATGTTCCAGACAGAACACAGATAATGAGCATAGAAAAAGATTATTAAGGAAAGATATCATTGTATCACATGTAATGTGTAATGTAGCTCTGAATATTCCTCCTAATGAGAATTTGAATATTTGATATAAAAAACCAAAGATACAAATTCCTCACACTTTGATCATTTTGTTCATAGGCATAATTTTGTTTTTGTTGTTGTTGCACTGATCATTATAAGCTTCTATTTTGTGTCTCTTGGTCAAGCTGTTTAGTAATAACAAAATAATGTAGGATTTTTCTCTAGTATAAAAAAGACCTAAAATGCAGACGTATAAAACCATGTGGAAACCCATTTGGAAAGTCTTTGTTTTGGTCCAACAGTGATAAAGTAAACCAATTCAAGTTTTATTAGTAAAACCTATACTCTACAACTTTTAATCAACAGTTAATCAAAATACTATGGTTAATGAGTCCATACAGTTCTTACTAAACGTTCAGTTTGGTAGGTTGATGTAGGAGCTAACATCTAATGAATCTAAAAATAAAATAAAAAAAAGAAGAAAAAAGAAATATAGATCCCTCTCAATGAACTGTGTAAACAGAGCACCTCGGCCTGTATCATCACACAGAAATTACTGGTTGTAATGAATTTCATAGACACTGAAACACAGGTGAAGATGTGTTAGTGTAGTGTGCTGACTGTTTTTAAAGTGACAGTTTGCTTTTTGATATTTCCAGTTCAACATCCCATTTAACCCATTTATTACATACTAACATGTTTCCTCAAATCAGTCAGTTAATACTGTGGTAGTTTGCATTAAATGCAGATATACTCTTACACATTAAATCTGCTCACAACACCCACTGTGTTGTATAAACGTAGATTCTCTTCTCTCAGAAGACCTCCTGTGTCACATTATTGCTACATAGTGGAAGTTAACAGAAAGGGGGCAGCACTGGTGAATATGGGACAAAGTGGAGGAATGGTCCACACACACACAGAGTGTTTGTACTTGACTGGCAGTGTATCTGTGTGTATGTCCTTCTTATGCAGAATAGTAGTTGGTGGGGACAAAGGGCATCTTGCTGACGGTGGCGGGCACTGCCTTTTTCCGAACCTCCACCTGGATGGCTGTTCCATTCTTAGCGAATGCTGCATCCACGTAACCCATGGCAACATTCTTTTTCAGGCAGGGAGAGGGGCAGCCGCTTGTCACCTCACCTAAATAGAACATCAACAAATACAAATGAAACACTTCTATGTACAATAAAATAAATGTTTCCCCTCAGAAAAAATGTAATTGTAATTTAACTAAATGTTTGGCTTAATATTACATTAATGCACTTCTTTAATCATTCAATCACCAAATAATGTGTAGGGTTTAAAATGTCAGACTTTGGCGACCCCCAGGGGAAGTACAATAGATCACACAGGCAAGCAGAGGGAATATAAATCCAGGCTTTCATAATTCATGTTTTTGGCATCATTGAGGGAGCTGACTAACTGTATGTTTAAAATCATTTTCATAGAAATGCTGTTTTATTTGATTCCACATTTACTCCAGCAGTGATTGATTTCTTCAGCTGATCTTTCACCCTTCTTGTTTTATATGCACAGCTCTGTCCTGTCCACCTCTCCCACAGTGTTTGCTTTCTTACCTATAACCTTTCCGTCAGAGCTGAGGATGGGTGTATGTTGTCTGACAGGAGGGCCGGTAGACACCAGACCCACTCTCTTCCTGGCTGTTTTGGCTTTGATTTGAGGTACGATGATGTCAGCACCGGGGAAGTCCTTGTTTTGACGCCGGCGCTTTCCTGCACGTGAAGAGACAAATAAGTGTTAGCTCAAAATGAAGTTGCTGACAAAAATACTAAACAAGGAACTATAAATGACAAAGCTGAAGCTCATTTAGCTGATTGAGCTCCTGATTTAATTATCTACATGTTAATAAACCTACAGAGATGCACATATTTAAATACATTTGATACATTATTTTCATAATTAAAATCAATTGCATCTACTTTAACACAAATTGCTGTGAATGATACATGTGGTGTTCACAATCTGTCACATTTTTTAAAGCTGTTTACAGAAAAGAAAGGGGACAAATAACCATTTTACAGTTGGTTATTTTCCAGACTTTTTCTTTAATGGTGCCTCCCCATTGATGCTGACAAAAAATTGTCTGGCTAACAGAACTCTACAAACAGTTGGCAGATGTTATTTTTAAAATGTTTATTAGTGAGCTATAGCTGATCTGGTAAACCATTTTTTCATTCTACTTTGGCACAGCCAGGACAGCTTTTCCCCCCTATCGCACATCTTTATCTAATGCTAAGCTAAGCTAAGCTAAGCTAAGCGCATGTTGGCTACAGTTAAAGACATTGGGTTGATCACAATTTTCTTAAATAACTCCCAACTTAAAAAAAAATAAAAAAAAACATAAACAATTGAGTTGATTAAAACTCATGACCTCATCTTTTCACAAATGGCCTTCTTCAAAACCCAATCTGGTTCAAAAAAATAATCTAAATACTTTGTAATGAACACTCTGATCTCACCAATGGTCCAGACGAGGGTGGCCTCCACAGGCGTGGTGGTCTCATCTATGTCATTTCCATAGAGACAAAGCCCCGCCTCCAGCCGCAGACTGTCCCTGGCACCCAGACCGGCCAGCTTTACCTCACTGTTTGCCAGCAGCTTCTCCGTCAGCTCCACCACTCTGAACCGAGGGACAGAGATCTGAAACGCAGAGAAGCATACAGACTGTAGAGATGGGTCTCCATTTGGGTGGTTCAATTACAGTTAACAGCATATTTTACCACATCAGTAATGGAATTATACACAAATGTTTGGAGGCAGGGGGCTCTGGAGGCTCTGGAGGCTCTGGAGGCTCATCGGCGGTAGCAGCAGCCACACTGGAAATCCTGTCTCAGCCTAACCGAGTTTCAAGCCTCCTCACAAACAGCTACACAGCTTCCACCTGTCAATCAGTTCAGTCACACGCCTTTTTGTGAAAAACACTAATCCTTCATAAAATCCAAATGGATGCATTGAAACCTCCCGTACAGTGTGTGCCCATGACGACAACTAATCAGACCTATATTGTATTTTGTACCAGGCTGTAAATGTGTTCATTTTTTAGCTGCGTGTGTATGTGACTTCTTGGGCTCCTGGAACCAGCCTCGAAGAATGCAGTTTTTGGCACTTCAATCATTTTTCAACACTGGAGGTTGCTGCTTGATTAATATAACCAGATTAAAGAACCCATTAAAGACGTTATGTATAATTAAGTGTAATAATTACATCTGTACTATATTTAAGAAGCCAATTTCTTTGCTTCAGTATGTAAAGAGATCTGACAAATTAGCATCTTCTTTTAGCAGAGGTCTACATTTTCATAGAGTCTAAAGATGGAGTGAGTCAAGAGAGAGTGTTCATGTGAAAGAAAAAGTCAAAGACATAAAAGCAAACTCCCACATTCCCTCTGTTAAAGAAAAACCTTCCCACATACATCCTGCCATCGACTGAGCTCCAGCAGAGCGTGAAAAAAGATAAATCCTTGTAGTAAACAACTCATCTGTGATCAGGCAACAGGCTCCTCACAACCAGAGTACTGTGATAATGTTTCAGTGTTAACAAGGTACATAACAGTGGGTAACAAATAAAGAGAAGATTCTTAAGGAGGACAGTTGTTATAAAAAGAGACCTACCAAAACTGAAATCATTCAATTAGATTAGAAAACGTATTAATCTCCAGAGGGGGAAACTCATTTGCCACTTGGTCAATTCTTACACACAACAAAGAATGAAGACAATCGGTCTCAATACACAAGTCGTAAATAATAACAAACACTACTGAAACCATGTGAGACATAATGAACAGCCATGAATCAGAGACACAACCAAAAATATAAATTAAAATATGTGACTGTTCGGGGCGCAGATGTCCTCTCGGTCAGGTTGCGGCTATAGTCCCCAGTTTCCTACTCTATCCACTGACCTATCCAATTAAGGCAAAAAGCCACAAAAAATGTATCTTAAAAAATAAATACATAAATCTGATCGCTGCTGCAACAAATGACCTTCTAATTAGTTCAGGAGAACACTGAGGCATCACTAGTTGCTCACTGATGAGCTTCTGAGTCTGTTAAAAACGCTGTGTGAGATACTGCCTTCAAAAATCAGAACCTGTTTAAGCTTGGTCCTCGTTCTCAAAGGTAACCTCAAGTGAGTCCGGGGTAATGCCAGTCACAGAGCCGTCATTTTTGATATAGTAGGCAGTTTCGAAAACAAAGATCCCAACAGTCGCATTGTCAAGATCTCTTTGGGTCAGCAAAGAGAGAGAGACAGAGAGAGAGAGAGAGAGAGATTCTGACCTCCACCCCATCCTCTCCGGTGTATCCACAGCGGGTGACCCTGCAGCCAGGAACACCAAACACAGTGGCCAAGGCGGAGGTCATGAAGGTCAGCTTACTGAGGTCCTCCTTCAGCCCCTGCTGGAGAACCTGAGCCATGGATGGACCTGGCAACACAAATCAAAAATCATCTCAAATAAAACAGAGGAGTTCAAAAAGCAGATTAAAAAAGTAATCAGGGAGGAAGGAGTTAAAAAAAGAGTTTCAAGTGCAACAGAAACATGAAATGATTAAGAAATACTGGGAAGTGCAAAAACAGGGGGCAGAGGGGTTTATACAGAATAAAAGAAGACAAAGAATGATGAGCTAAGCTATGAAAGAAAAAAGAGGGTGAGAGGAACGACAAAAGTATGACAAAAGAGAGGAAAAAAGAAAAGGAAAGAAGAAAAAGACAGAATAAGTTAAAAAAGAGGAAGATGATTTTACCCTGCAGAGCAATTAGTGCTTCATCGAGGAACTCCAGATCAACATTATAACCTGCTGCTTTGTACTCTGCCAGTCTGGCCTATAGGTGAAACACACACATCAGACAGTTTCTGTTATTGTAACATTCCCCCACACCCCCACACCTACACTTTATGTGTATATCTACCTTCATATGAGCAGAGTCCTTGTCAGCACAGCCTGCGTTCGAGACAACATAGAGGTAGCCCTGGTCTGTCTTTGTCACTATGAGGTCATCCATTATTCCTCCTTTCTCATTGGTGAAGAGGGTCAAGGTTCCCTGGGGGACAAGAAGAAGAGAGAGATAGGGGTTTAAGAGTGTCTATGTGTATATTTAGTAGGTTTACTTGGTCAAGTGACCAACTCTGTTACTTCATATAAATGTCATTATAAATGTCCCTCTAAAATGATTCTATCACAGAGCTCAATAGTTTCGCTTTAGTTATATGTACTCTGTCAGCTCTAATCAATCCGGATCACTTGACCTCTAGTTTGTGAAAGGTTTCAGTCATATAGGGCTGTCACACATACACTAAACTCACATTGTCAGGGTGACCTGCATGTGTGAACCCTAAAAGTTGTCCATGTGAAGTTGAAGTGAGCTGATGTGGGAAACGCAGCAGCAAGTATTCAGGGAGATTCTCTGGGGCGACCTCAGTGCACGTAATGGGTTTTTTTTTCTTTGCCAGTATGTTCTTCTACACTAAACAACATGTTGCATTTATATAAGGACCAAAATGATCATCATAGTGCCAGACTCTGTTGCTTCGTCCACCATTTCTGCATCTTTTTTTTAACGTCATGTCCCGCCTCGTGAGACCCCCAACCCACCCCAAATACAACAGGATTACGCTCCTGCTGTGAGGTGCATATGTGAACAGCTAAGTCAGGCCGATATCACTGGAAGCCTGCCTGAGATTTTATATAAATGTTTAGGACTGCATGTGCAAATGGATATTGTGATGGACCCCAGGTGGCAGTCCCCCAAACATCAAAGGTCCACTTTAGGGTCTTTAATCTCATTGTTTTGGACTGTACTCTGCACAGATAAGGATACACAGTAACACTGTACAGATAAGAATACACATTATTCAATAACTTTTTTTACAGTCAAGCATCCATCATCATTCATAAGGTTTAGCAGAAAACAAAAACATTGTTTGTGAATAGAAGAGTGAATAGAAGGCCAGCCACAACTTTAAATTCAAGCTAATGTTTCTTATATCTGCATCATGTTTAATAACCAACATGAAGCCATTCTTTAACTTACCTGGTTGTCTTTGAGTTCAGCAATATCTGCAACTACTAGAGACTCCATGAACTTCACCCTGTCTTTGCCATGGACTTTGGTCTGACAGGAAGAAAAACAACAGGATTCTGTGAGTCTGTGGATGTGATTTTGGGAGTTTGTACATGCTGTATGTATTGTGTCTGTACATATTTGTGTGTCAGTTTACACCCGTCTCTCTCTCTCACCTGCAGCATGTGGCTGACATCAAAGATGGAGCAGTGCTCTCTGGTGTGCATGTGTGAGACAATGTGGCTGTCTTTGTACTGAACAGGCATACTCCAGCCTGCAAACTCCACCATCTTTCCCCCCTGCTCCTTGTGGAAGTCAAACAGCGGCGTCTTCTGCACAGCGGCCTAAAGGGAAATCAAACAACATAACGAGTGTAAGAAATAAACACAGGGAATACAAGAACGACAAATTTGGATTTTAAAATCCTAATTGGTTGAAATTATGTATCTTTAAAGGAAAAATGTACAACATTTGACATATAAATACAACAGAAATCAAGAAATAACACATCCTTGTTAAATAATCCATCTCCTCACACTCTGGTATACAGTCAAACAGTCAGTTTGGCAGAATGACTTGACAGCATATTTCTGCACGCGATCAATCAGAAGCTGGGATACAGGGAGAAGTTGAACATCAGCTACTTAAGCGATCAGGTTTGGTAAAGTTGAACTACACTTATAAAGTAGTTTGAACGTTTCATCTTTGTGAATAAAAGTTATCAAGTTGTCATTGAGGAGAAGATGTTAAAATATAACAAAATTGAGAAAATTAAAAAAGTTGCATGGCAGAAAATGTGCAAATTGAGATTATTAGAAAAGTTGCACACTTCTTCCACAGGTCAAGGAACATTTAACAAAGCAAAGAAAAATGTTAAAGGAATGTTAGATTTTGTCATATATTCAATATCTATCAATCCGCACTCTGTGTGGGGATATTACATAGGGTATAGAGGTAGCAGGATTAGTAAGGTAACACCTAAAATAACAGCTATCAACGTATGTTAATAAATAACAATAATCAATACAGAACGATTAATGATTAATAAGTCATGTCTTTACAGCAGGCAGGATGAGAGACGGGGGGGTGGGGTCAAGAAGAGACTTCAGTTACATTTAAGAAGCCACTGAATCAAAATAAAGAAATGATTTATTTTAGAATAGCCCCAAAATGTTTTATAGTTTAATTAGTTATTAATACAAATTTGGCAAAATTCCTATAAGCTCTTCAAACACTTTGCAAGAATGATCTAAACAAATTACAAACTAATTACTTAACGAAAAACGTTTCTCCAACACTGGCCTCTTTTACTGCTCATGATTCACTCCTGTATTCTCTTCCTTTCTACCCCTCTGAACTCTGACCTTTGAACCAGCCGGTGACAGGAACTTATCAGTGATAAGTGTGTGTTGGCACTTTACGTAAGACTCAATTACTTTTTGTGAAAACTGTCTGAGTCCAAACACACACACACACACACACACACACACACACACACACACACACACACACACACACACACACACACACACACACACACACACACACACACACACACACACACACACACACACACACACACACACACAGGGACTTTGCTCTCTCTTCAGCCCTTTTTGTAACACTCCAAGATAAATTCTGGTTGAGCTACTATGTTTGACTGATAATGACACAAGATTATACATGTTGGGTCATAAAACTGATGCCTGTTGTGTCATATCAGTTAATGATATACACACACATCAATCAGTCAAATTGCAAATGGCATAAAAAAGGATTGATTTGCTGAATAATTAAGCCTCATATTGAGTGAGTAGGGACTGACACAGAGCTGACAGTATACTGTAGAGTCAGTCACAAGATGGTTTTAATGAAATCAGCTCAGTGAGGTGGAGCAGGGAGAGGACAGATGTTATATTACATCTGCATGACATGACTGCAGCTGTGTAGCAGTTTACTGTAACATGATGTTACATTGGCAGAGCCACTTTAATATTGCATTTTAAATGTGAAGGGAAACGCAGCTTTAACGTCCATTTCTAACACACCTTACTTTACAAAATGTTAAAAACGTATTGATGAAGAAGTTCATTCCGACAGACTTGAGTTCCTCGGTGATATGATAATAAGAATGTATGCTAATGCTAAAGCACTTTGGACCACTTGCAGCGCTGAAAGTTGAGCTGCTCCACTCACCTCTGCACTCGAAGCCTGTCTCTGCTGCCTCTTCCCCGCACATGCAGCTCCCGACACCCGCAGTAAACCATCCCTGGAAGCCCGCAACGCGAGCCCCGAACTCCCGGTCCGAACCAGCAACCGAGCCCACATCATGCTGCCTGAGTCCCCGCTGGAGTCTCTCAGTCTCTCAGTCTCTCTCTCTCGCTCGCTCGCTCACACACACACACACACACACACACACACACACACACACACACACACACACACACACACACACACACACACACACACACACACAGGCTCCGGACAGGCACTTCCGCCGTGTTACTAAATCTTTGGACTCCTCTCGTTCTGGATTTACTGCTTTCGGGGCAAAAACACATGAAGCGGCAGCGATTGAGGAGCAAAGACTTGTGGGAAATAGAGTTAGTGGGACAATTCCATTGCGGTTGGTTGTGACTGACCTGTTTGTTGGGACCGATTTAATTATAAAAAGGTTAAGTGGCTATAGCATTGCCCTATATCTGCTATTAATAAGATAACAATAAAATTGAGACAAAATCCTGTATGAAATTTTATGCAAATAATATGATACAAAAACATTTTCATCAAAATCACTCCTCATCGATCCAAACATAGACACACAGCATATTATAGGCTACAATAATTTAGGCCTATATAGAGCCCACTTCTAAGATATTTTCAAGTAACTTGATGAAGGATGGTCTGTAGAGATTTTGACTCAAATGGTAATAAGAAGACATTCGACTTTACACAGTCTTCAGCATTAGGCTTATATAGCCTATCTAGCGATTATTAAACATTGCAGAATAACAAGAGATCAATAGATGAATAGATGTGGATGTTAATAGATAGGCATAAATAGAATTGATAGAGAAGTTGTGGGTGGATTGTTTAAGAAAAAAGCACAAAAGAGAACATCAATCCAGTGAATCCCAAAGTGGGGCATCATGGGACCCCTAGTGGGAGCCCGGAGTTATAACAGGGGGCCACCGCTGTTGCAAAGCATGGCAAATTTGGAGAGAGGGGTTAAATGTACGGCTGAAAATGAATCTACTCTAGACGTCACACATTTGAAGGTTCCATGTAACAGGATCGTTTTGAATTGCTTCCTCTTGAAAAGCAACTTGTTGTTTTTTCAGTTTGTTGTCACACGCTGAGCTGCTATTCTGCACTTTTTGCAGAAAATGTTGGAGATAAATTTTAAAAAATTGGAATTTGTTAGCAAAGAGTGTGACTGAAAATGTGTTTAGTGTATGTAGATATATGTAGATGTGTATGGTGAAGGGTGAGGGGACTTAACTATATATTCTTCTGCCAAGGGAGGTCCTGGCAGAAAAGTTTGTGAACAACTCTATCAGTCCTTGCTGTTCTAAAGAAGGATATCGTTCATCCAAAGTCACTCAGTCAGCACAACACAAGACCATCATAGAGGATTAAGTGAGAAACTAGACCAGCGTTGTTTGCAACTGAAAGAGTCTGTATCATCTTTATTAATACCTTGGATTCTTAATTGATGATTCGCTGTTGTTTTTTTTATGACCAACATTTTTATTGTTTTCAATGTTTTTACAACAGTACAATACCAGACAATAAATGATATAGAACAATGCCCAACAAGGGTAACACTATCAATGCAAGACAACAGAAAAAAAAATTCAGTTAAATTAGATACAGGAAGATTTGCTGTTTTTTAATCTTCATATTTAGCATATAGTTTTTTCTAGGTTTTTATATCAGAAATAAGTGCTTTTCTGCAAAAAAAAAAAAAAGACTTGTTGCTGTTACTGTTATACCTCTGATCGATTACATTGATGTGTTATGATGCATGCACTCAATGGCTTGAATCTTTGTATACTGTATATCATGCAGCATTGAGGTTAATAACAAATCTCAGTGTCCTAACTCATCATTGTTCTCTGTATGATTGAGTTGGCTGGTCTGCATTGTCTATATAGACAAAATCGGCGGCATGTCCCTATTTTTAAGACTCAAGTTAACCTGCTCCCCTTATACTTGTATCATTCATGTGTAAAAAAAAGTGTGTCTTCAAATGGGGAAGAGGAGTTTCAGGTCAGCTGCTCCTGCAGATTGATTTGTGTCTCTCTCTTTAAATCTTTTTAAAAGTAGGTCAAATGCATTGAAGGAAGATGCATCAAGTTGTAGATGCTTTGACTGATAACTTGTCTGCTCTGTGACTCTGTGAGGATATGTTGATCTGTGATTGTAATTTCTCTTGTCTATAACTTGTTCAGATGTGCAGCTGCCTTTCTTGGCCAGGACGATCTGGGTTCGGGTTCCTGGTTAAATAAAATGTAAAAAATAAAAAAAATAAAAACTGTTTCCATCTTACAAAAATCAAGACATGTTATCTTATCTGTCCATTATTCTGAAAATACCTGAACAGTTAACAGGTGTTTTTGGTCAGATAAACTTGCTGACCTTTAACTTTTTAATATATGAGTATTTGTGTGTGTGTTTATCCCAACACACCCACCATGCCCTCCTGCTGGATCATCTAAACATCCTTCGGCCTGAGACACTAATAATACCCCCATGTGTCTGCTGCTATTTCAGGCCTTGAGGGCCTGCAGGGTGGGGTGTGCATGAATATGTGTGGAGGGGACTGAAAAGCCTTCCTCTCTCTATTCCCCAAACGGGGTAACTAGGGTAGACCGATTTGGAACATAGACACACACAAACATACTTAGCAAGGGGAGGCTGTGGAGGTGGGGGTGAGCCCTACAGTTGCTCAGTGACACACATGCTCATAAGGAGCTCAACCCTGAAGAAAAACCTGGAGGTTCCCTTTTGTTTTTCAACTCAATGATTGAACTGGAATAAGTTATAAACAGTTTTGATACGATCTGAGTTCAGTTGGATTCCTTTTGTCGCTTTGTGGCTCTCGAGGATAACTTGTGTGAACATTTATTTTAACTCACTGCTGCCCCGTTTAGTGTGGAGATATGTTTTGGAAAACTGGTGTCTGAGGCTCCAGAACAAAAATCAGACAACAAATAAGATCCATCACAGCTCTTGTTCATGGTGACTGAAGGTAAGTGAAAAGAGATCAACATGATTTTTTCTTATTTTATCTGAATTAAGTTTATATTATTATTTGGCAGCACAGTACCTTTATCCAAATCTATCCACAGATACAAATAAAGAAACCTAACCACATCTTGTGTACAGTCAGGTATTCTGTAAATAAAGCAGTCAGGTAGAAATTCAGTTAAACATTCATTCATTAGATAGGAGTCTGTCTTGTCCTTTGTCCTGTGATCCAACTTCCACTAACACTGCGTCTTTATGGGTTTGACAAGCAGCTCTATTAATAGGGTGATAAATCAGCCACTTATCTTGTTAGCCTCTCACATGATACAGTTTTACATCAGAAACATCCTCCTCTAGATTCATTTCACTTACAGCATATATCCTAATTCCTTATTTTCTCTTCTGTTTCAGAGACTACCAAATATATCCCCGTCTCTAAATGTTACTAGCTTGATTCTTTGAGACTTAGATGAGATTAAATAGATCCTAATAGAACTTACAGTCTTATTGAATCCCATAAGGAAAATAAATGACCAAAGAGCAGAAGAAAAAAAAATTCTATCACAGCTGCAAAAGGAAGGAAGCTGTCCATCAAATTATCAATCAGATCATTAATGAGTCCTTTTTATTCGCATCTTGTTTTTGGAAAGCCAACATATGAAAAAGATTGCTAACATCGACAGCAGGAGTCTCTTCTCTGTGACATTTTATGATATAAATAACCTGAGGTGACAGTAAACATATTATTGATTTGAAGATTTTGTAGAGAACATTCCATAGGCTATTCGTCTGGTCGGTAAACACAACCCTGCTATGCTCTATTAACAGAAAATATATATTTTTTTATTTAACAAAATCTTGCTTCTAATGGCTTCAAGAAGCCGATACCTGGAGAAGTAGGTTGGTACTATAGTTTATATAGCTTCTAGATTCACCTGGTAGGTGATAAAAAGTGGAGTACCATCTTCAAGAGGGGAAATGTCAAGGCCTCCATCCTCTCAGACCACCCCTCAGTTCTACAGGGTCAGCGAAAGAGATCTCACCGAGATCGAGCTTCATTCTGTGGACTCCATCAATGACCTCCACCGAACACACCACGAACACAGCCAAAAAGGTACACACACACACACACACACACACACACACACACACACACACACACACACACACACACACACACACACACACACACACACACACACACACACACACACACACACACACACACACACACACACACACACACACACACACACACACAAATACTTTAAACAGAGACTTAAAGACACAAACAGTGTTATTCAGCACCAGGGTGAAGGAACTCAGACACCTCAAATACAGCATTAACGGTACACCTCTATTTCAGCAATGCACAGAACAGGCTATTTCTGTGTCTGGACCTTTAAATATATAAATGAGCTGTGTCTGACCACGCCTCTCTGGAAGGGCCTGGGTGGCTCGGGCTTTCTCGCACCATGCCCAATTGTTAATGATGAAAAGGCAGACTCAGAGGGCAGAACAAACACCTAGCTGTGGGAGTGTCACCCACCTGGAGGAGGGGTTACTGCCCTTTGTGATGTCATGAAGGGAAAATCTCCAAACGGCCTGTTTGAGCACACATTTTGTTGAGTGGAGTTGGCAAAAGACAGAGAGGATGGACTTTTCTTATAATTGGGGGGTTTGTAGATGGACTAGGTACACATATTAGTGTTGGGAAAACATGGTAAAGTATATTTTGCATATGTGACCTTTAAAGGTACAGACACATTTCTAATACAGCCACAAAGGTGTATGCACAGTCTTTTATTCACACACAGAGATAATAATACATTTTTTTTACTAGCAACACAGACACAGGATCCAAGCAACCACAAGGGCACACACACCTCCTACACTGACAAACACAACCACAAGAGTACAGCAAAACCTCAAATACACACGCGCACACAAAACACAAGCCACAAAATGACACTCTAACCCAATACATAAATACATAACACTGACTCTTGTATATGACATTTCAGGAAGTAGACCTCCTCGTCCTGCTTACATACCCTCCCCCAATGGGAATCTCTTCACATGTGACGTGGCAGCTGTCAATCAAAGAGGCGGTCCACTCAGCAGAAAATGGCAGACCCGTCTACAGGATATGCTAACACCAAGTTCATCACATGCTTATGCCATGGGCTGTGCTATCGTCACTTTGCTTCTGTTAACAGTGCTACTCATCTTCTACTTTTTGGGTGAGATTGCATACTCCCTTTTTTTACCCACCCTTGATATCGATCTTTACACTGCACATGCTCCATTTTGTTCCTTAAAGGCTTTATATGCAATTTTTTGATCCAGCAGATGTCGCCCTTGAGCACCAGCATGAAACCAAAACAACTCGCGGTGCATTGTTGTGTTAGCATGCTAATGCTAGCGATCTTTATTATGCTCGTATCTTCACACTGCATGTAAATTTACCTGAAATGAGCGTGATCTAGAAACACAGTTAAGCAGTGAGTACAGTATGTTATTCTTCTTTTCTCTAGTCCCTCAATTAAACAACTTTCATTCACAAGGGGAGGAGTCAGCCGGCCGTCCAGGCGATGTAAACAAACTGAAGACAGTGGGACTCGGGTGTTACACCATTGTAGACAGTCATGACTCACAGAGTTATTTTCAGAGGATATACTTGATTTCTATTATATTTAAGTGTGAAAAATCACACATAAAGACTTTAAATCTTATTCCATTTGAATGGTCATCTGTCATTTTCTAGTTCGAGCTGTGCAACGTAATCATGGTATTTTAAAAACATCACTATGAACCTAAACACAATATGTCTTTGTGTACACCAAAACAGAAAACTAAAAGCGTTACCTTCTGTCTGTTTCATCTCCAGTCCAGCAGGGCGGCGCAATCCAGATGCTAACTGCGGCAGTGAGGGAGAAAGAAGCCACAGCCAAAGAGCTGTCACTACTGATCCAAGAATTAAAGGCACAAAGATGTAACCAGACAGCTCAGGGAGGAGGAGATGAGGAAGATGAATGGAAAGTGGACATGTATTTGCTTGTAATATCAGAGATACTGCAAAGTGAAGTAGAACTGTGTCTAACAGAGGATCACTCCACGAGGAGGAAGTGTAATCCAAGACATTTTATGAAGGTGATCTGTCATTCAAGTTTAAGTGCTACTGATGTGACCATGTAGTTAAGAGATGGTTGGTTTGTGAAAACTGACCCTCTTGTACCTGCCTCCATCATTACATGAAAGGACTTTTGACTGTACACTCACATGTTTAGTCCTGTGACAGAACCGTCATTGAAGCTGTAAAGATGGTTGGCTTAATTGAATGGAGGCAGAATATCTTTTGTCACACAAAAATCTACCAGCTGTTTTTAATTTTAACTCACTCTTGTTTGTATGGAGAGGACGGTGTCAGTGTCATTTTTCCAACATTGTGCATCATTGTGTGAGCAGACACAGACGTGAACCTGCCCTACATCACAGTTTTCATTAAAAACAACAACAAACAGAACTTTTAAAAAACGTATCTGTTACGCTCTTTGTCAGTTTTTTGTTGTTATTGTTCAGTTTGATTGTTTACCTTTTTCTATGTTTGCTTATTATCACCAAATAACCCAGATCTTGTAATATTAATATAATTTAAAATTACTTCCAACCAGATAGTATGTCATTAGCTTTAAAGTCAGGGTTGGTCATTTTTTCCAGATACACTGGAAAAATAGTAGTTCATAATAGTTTAAAAAATGACCAACCCTGCTTTTAAGCCCATCAATTTTGTAGAACTTCCTTCTGTAGCACATTGAGCAAAGTAACAGAAAAGTTTAAAAATATAAAACATGGACAAAAATTTTACGAGTTACTTCTTTAGAGTTAAACTACAATAAAAGTTTTTGCATTTTTTTGAAGATAGATCAAAATGATTTAAGATTGTAGATTTTTAAGGTAAATTCCTCCTTTTAAAAACAGGCAAAATAAACACTGCGGATCACATTTTTATTTTTCTATTTTCATTTGTTGATGAAATGCAACAAAGAGCTGACAGGTCAGGCAGTGTGATGTATGGACGCCTCGTTTACCATCATGAGAACACACTGAGTGCATCTCTGTAGAAGTGTTGAGGTTACTTGTTATTATGTCCAGTCGTGTCCTTCTTCTCTTGACATTCCTGTCCAGTCCAGCCGGGATAACACCGACACCTAAAGTGTTTGACTTGATTGGGGTCTGACGTCATAGAGACCATGTGACCTGAGTTGGGTCGTCGCCTGGCACAGCGTCCGTTGCCGTGGCAAAGCTGGAGGCTGCAGCGCTGGGTGTCAGACCTCAGCTCCTGGATGAAGGGACCCAAGACAGTTTGGACGTATTCTCTGAGCAGGATGCACTGATGCTGGAGGGTGGGAAAGGAGGACAGGGTTACACACTAACACTCACACACAAAGGTGAACAACGCATCAGGTCATACCTTGGACTTGGCAAATTTCAGCTCTCCCCACAGGACAACTCCAACAGCTCCCAGTGCTGCACTTTCCCCCAGTGTGTGCTCCAGGTCTGTCTGAACACACACACAAAAAAACACAAAACACAAAAAACAACATGTAATGTACTTATTTGAAAGTTCAGAAATTAGAATATAGATGCATGAGTTTGTGGATTTTATGAGTTACAACAAACCTTATTCAGAAAGGTGAGAGTGTGTGTGAATGCGAGCCTGGCGTAGGGAAGGACTGGTGTGGCATGATTGGTGTTTTCGTCATGATGCCAAACTGACGCCACCCTCAAAGCCTCCAATAGTCTGTATCTGAGAGAAAAAAGAAGTCAACATCAATATCTCCTTCATCAATTTGTGGCAAGATGAACAGAACTTTTTATGAATAATAGAGCAGGACCATTACATTTACGAGCCTCAACATGCGGTGTTGAAAAATGAAGCCAAGGATGCAAAACAGTGCAGTTCTATGAGTGTCCACTTGAGGCTGCCTCCAAAAGAACCAGAAGTCCCATACACACCCATTCAAAAATGTTCTGACTGGTAAATGTCTTCGTCTGCACACAAAGTACAGGGGTTATTATTTTTTATAATTCACCCATGTCGATTGGATTAAGGATACAAGCTATGCATAATTAGGGACGTGACAAACCTGACTGCAAGCAGCCGCTTTGTTTGTCAGGAGGCTTAAGGCCCGCCTCAGCTCCAGCTCTTTGCCTGTGGTTAGGTTGACCGTAAGTTTGATAGAGTCAACATTTACAATATGGCCACAGCTTTGGATGGGCCTCCAGAACAACCCATCGGAAACTAATGAGTTATGTCACTCAGTCTTAATCCATGTTTGCATCTAGCCTATGTATATCTGTCCACATATACTGACCTAACAATGATAGATATAGATATCTGTGTATACAATAGAAAACACTCAGAAATAAGATAATCACATAGTTTGTCACAGAGCAGAGTGCTCTCCCTCTCTAAACCTCAACAATGTTACAAAACATGTGACTAACTTTTCATTTATTTCTGACAATATGCATGCGTACGAGAACAATGACTCTCTACTCATTAGCTGTAGCACATTAGTAACATTAGTAGAAGTAAATAATGTCTTTACTTATAAAGCACTTTCTAACCCAGGTTACAACGGTCACAGCTGAGCAGATGGTGGTGCGCTGTATTGGTTGAGAGTTTTTAATTCTACTTAATATTCTTGGGTGATTGATCAGAGCAAAATAAGCGCAAAGTCAACACTTAAAATCTTTATTTTCATCCCAGCTCATAAATGTTCTAAGTCGACCTGCATCTTGGTAATAAGAGATTTTTTCCACTCTAAACGTGGCTTCTTTAGATCCAGTATTGATTACTGTCTATTTAATGATTACTTAGTTAACAACACTTTCTATTCATGTTCTTTTAAGCTGTATTTCTGACTGACGCAGTTTAAAGTGGTTGAACCTCTTTTCTCTGTACCTGACCATCAGAGCTGCGTCACTAGATCCCGCCAGCCTCTTTGGAAGGTAAACACTGGGATAGAGAGCGGTGGACTGACGCCAGAGCCAGGACAGACGGTCGTTTTGTTGTTTGGTCCCCCTGTGACAGCGTCCTGTGTAGCTCTGATCTGGTTACACACATGGAACAAGGACGGACAAAGATGTGTTTTCATTCAACTAGAAACAGTTAAAGCCATTTCAAGCAAAGAAGCTCAGTATTAAGCTTTTCACAGAAACTATTATAGTCAATTATATCTACTAATAGTGGACCTTAGCTTATACTAATGATCAGAGTTTATCAAGCCAACATTTCAAATTTAATTTTTTTAGTGAATTTGGTCTTGGGGTGCAGTGGGGTGGTGACTCAGTAGGGCAGGGGTGGGCAACTGGCGGCCCCCATCAACCCTCAATGTGGCCCTCAGGTCAATTTTTACACATCAATGAACTGGAAGCATGAAGAAAAGATGACTAAATCTGCCATGAAATCATGAAAACCAGAAGTATGTCCATAATAATATTTGATCACTGGTATATGTTGAGATAAATTTGAGACATAATCGACTGTAATCGGTTTTATATTCTACAATTTGGCCCTCTGGCATTGAGAATTAAATGACTGTGGCCCTTGCTGTGACCAAAGTTGCCCATCCCTGCAGTAGGGTCATTTTCTGCTCTGATTTCAGTTAATCACACATCTTTTTGTCTCCTCCTGCTGGGCACGAGAAAGAATGCAGGTTTAAGGAACTTCAAAAGTAGAGACTATCTTAAATATATTCTATGGTAACATCCCTGTAAGCAAACATATAAATTACTGAAGTGAGTTCCTACCTGTCTGTCTGCTTTGCTTATTGAAGCAGGGAGGAAAACCATAAAACCCCCAGAGTCCTTTAGGACGATCTCTGACCGCCACCTGCAGCGTCTCCTCCATAAACCTCCGAGCGCTCTCCTCAAACTTCAGCTTCGCCAATGACGTCTTGGCTCTTTCAGACAAGTCAGGTCTCTCCTGCTTCACCAGCAGCTTGGACAGCCGACGATACTTCATCTTGATTCCAAAGTTTCTCTCCCACAATGGCCGCCACTCTTCCCAGTCAATGACAGCTAAACCGTTGAATTTGGGATGCAGTGATCTGGAGATTTGCGTCACTGCCAGGGAAAGGTGAGCCGAGAGGTCACCAAGCTGAGGTGTTCCTCCGTTGACCTTCCTGCCGTCTCTGGAGAGGTATGGATATTTCCCCAGGCGGTCCCGGTAGAAAATGGTCATATTCTGGAAATAGAAAAGCCAACAGAACATAGTTAATCTATGAATATGGGTCATTTTGGATTTTTATTTCAATTTCAGTTCTTCAGAAATATAAACCTTCTTGTGATATTAGAACAGTTACTTCAGTGTAGGATCAGTATGCTCCACTCCCCCCCCCACCACACTCACCTGTCCCTGGAAGCGTTGCCGTCTGTTCTCCACGATGTCGAAGTCGTTCAGGTCCAGGTGGATGTTGTAGCGTTTCCCACACTGAGCTGTGGGCATGTTCCACACCACAACGAAGGGGTGCTCCTGCAGGATCGGAGCTGCCGCAGCCACAACAGAAACAGGGTCGCGGACATATGTTTGTGATGGAGAGGTGCATGGTGGGAAGATGGATAGAAGGAGAAGGTGGAGGAAGGGGAGAAGTAGGTGAAGGAGCACCATGGCTGCTGCTCACCCACTGATGTTTCCGTCCTGAGAGAGAAGAGGAATGAGCCAATAAGATTTGAGGATGAGGACATTTTTTAATCATTGGAATCAACTTACAAGTAACCATGGTTTTCTAACTCGAATATGTGTCCCTAGCCTGTCTATTACAGCTATTATGTGTGTTTCCCTATGCTGTGTGTTCCTTCTCCACTTCCTGTTGTCTCCAGCCCAGGTGAAGCCACTAATTGAACAAGAGGCCTCGGTGCTGAAAAGGCCAGAGCTGGCTGCAGAGAGGAGAGGCATTTTGAGGAGGCATTTGGAGTTGGGACTGCTGTGCCTCTCTTGTCTTGTCTGTTGTCTTTTGTTTCTCATTTGATCTTTGTTATCATTTAGTGTGTCATATTGTAATAAATCCCTTTGTTTTGACTTTTGTTAAGGTGTTTTGTGTCGTTTAACGGGTCAATGTGTGGATTGTTGTTAGCCCCACAGGGCCGCCTTATGGCCGGGCGTAACATGTTTAAGAACCCCCAAGTTATGAGAAAAGTCCATCCTCTCCGTCTTTTGTGTGCTCAACTTTCCAGGAAATGTGTGCTCAAAGATTTTCCCATCATGACATCACAAAGGGCAGTAGCCCCTCCCCCATGTGGGTTTCACTCCAACAGCTATAGGCATGATCAAATTCAGGATCAGAGTGGATTCATAACAAGAAACTTCACAGACATGTTTTGGGACCTCTGAGACTTGAATGACCAATATGTAACTCTGACACCTAGTGCTTAAAATGGGTACTGCAGTCCAAATTCAAAACATTGGGGAAAGCCATCCATGTCCAGGACACAGAAGCTTCAGTGTTTAACCAGCTCTGCATCTTGAAACCTTTATGCGCTTAACCTAACATAACCTTTGACTCTTAATATTTTAAATCATCACCAATGATTATCCTAGTTTGACCAAGTTTCTGGTCTTGGAGCTTGATAGATAAAATGTTGAGGTCGAGTAGAATCAGTTTTGCTTGCCCGCTTCCATCGCTGCAACACCTGTTGGTTTGCCGTTTGCCTGGAAAACCGAGGGGCAAAACGGCCGTGTGGGGGTGCCTTAAAACCGCCTACCTTCTCTGGTCTAAAGAATTACAGACCATTTCAGACCAGAATCGACCCTTAGGAGGACATACTGACTGCTGCATTGTTGTCAGAGAAACCAGCACTTCAACATAGCATGCTTCTTTAATGTCTGATGATATAGTCAGGTCACGTTATGATTTAATTCAGTAGATATCTTACATATTGGACCTTCAATTAAACTTGTTTTAAAGGAGGACAATATGTGACCTTTAATCAAACACATTTACAGGAATTCATAAAGGAATTTAACTTGTTATTGCTCTCAGTGATATTCTGTGAATGGTTATAACATTTTAAAATAAACACAAATCAAAATGATTCATCATTCATTTCTTTTATTTGACATATTGTGTTCATGTTCAAGTATCAGACCAGATAAGATGCATCACTCTCAAACCTCTTAATCTTTCAAACTCAATAAGGCTTCAGTTCAACAAGGCACATTTCAACTCACAGTAACAGTATCACATGATCGATCAGCAGCACGCACACACGGGGAGGTCGGCAACATTTGAAGGCAATGGCTGCTCAAAAGGCAAAGGTAACTTTTCCTGTTTAAGTTTTTCAGATTGGCCAAAATAGGTTTGCTCTTAAATACTGTTCAACATGTTCACCTTTTTTAAAAGACCCCTCTCTACCTGCTGTCTTTATCAGTTATAATATTTTGTTAAAATAATAATTTGTGTCTAAATACTTTCTGTTAGTGTTATCAAAAGGGCTCACGAGTTTCTTCTTACATCCAGTAAGTTTCATATTGGATCATGATTGGCTTCCAAACAAGCTGTGATGTCACAACATTTCAGACAAACATCTTAAACTCAGATTGAAGGTTGGATGTGAGAGAATCCATCAAGTATTAAACTCATTCATCATTCTGCAAAAGTGAGTTACAGAGTGATCTTTGGATTTTGCAGATGTAGAGAAATTCACCAGGTTAAGGATGGACTCAGGAACTCACAGAATACATTCAGGTGAAAGCAGAGTTTTATGTTGTTCTCTTCATCAGTGATTTGGTAGTAAAACAACGGTTGAGTTTCTTTAAAAACTATTAAAAGGCTCGCTGAAGTCAAGTGTTTTCCACTTGTCACTTATACGTAAGAGGATGAGGGTCAGACATCAGAGATCAATAATGAAAGGAGTTAGATTTTATCATTTGCACTTAGAGTAAAAAGTGGAACTGTTGAGAATACATTTTAAATGTAAATTTAAAAAAAGTGTAAATGTCGAGAATAAAATTGAAATACAATTTTGAGAATAAAGTCAAATGTCGCAAAATTTCATTTCAACTTTATTCTCAATATTTCTACTTTCTTTTCTTGAAGTACACAAAGGATATCAAATCTTCCTCCTATCATTCTTTATTTCTCATGTCTGGCCCTAATCGTCTTCCATACACTGATGTATTTAGTGATTATCTTTTTTTTTTTAGCATAACAAAAAATCTCTGGTTGTGCACTTAAATTGTACCTTGTCTTGTTTTCTTTGTACGTGTGTGCTTCTTTATTTGTGTTGTAATATTCTTTTGCCACATCACATTCAAGATTAAAGCTTTTATCGACTGTGCATGAGCCGCTCTTAACTCTTCAAAATGTAGGAAGTGAATGTGGATGTGTACTTGATTGTTTCTACGTCTCTTTGGTTTACTTAAACAGTTTGCTTTCACTGAAACAACAATCCTGTGTGTGCTTGTCATGTTGACTTGATGTTTGAGTTCACAGAGGGTCAAATGTCTTTGTGCATCCAAAAGATGGGAACTCCTCTGGCATCCCTGTAGGGAGTTTCAGTCAGAGTCTGAACGACAGGCAGACCTGCAGCCTGAGGAGGAGGTGGGGGAGGAGAGAGGATGGAAGAAAGGGGTGGGGGAGGAGGGATGGCTGGAGGTGGCAAGGGAGGAGGAGGTGGAGGTATGGGAGGAGGTGGAGGTGGGGGAGGAGACGGGATTGAAGAAAGGGGTGGAGGAGGAGGTGGGGGAGGAGGGAGTAAACCAGAAGGTGGAGGTGACCCTTGTGGGACTTTAGCCTCAGTCTTTGCCCATGTCTCTCTCTGTGTGTTCCCCTCTTCACTCGGCATCCTCGAGAACCTCAACAGCGTCTCCATGGGAACAAACGCTGTCATGGCACCCGCGTTTTGCACCGGCGTGGACAGCACGTAGCCGATGTGGGCGTAGAAGTGCTGCTTGTCGTGCGTGGTCAGGCACAGGCGCTTGAAGCCTCTGCTTTTCGCATAGCGCTCACTCCTCCATAAGAGTCCGGCCGTAGCCCCGCCCCCGCTCGGCCTCGGACACGACCACGGACTCCACGAACAGGCAGCTGGTGTGACCTACAACCTGGGAGAGGCGAGCGTGGCCCAGCAGGCGCTCCGCCTCTCTGTGTCCCTGCAGGAGAACCAGACAGACGGGGAACTCTGGACAGGACTTCTGGAGGGAGTGGACCCGGGCCGCCTGGCTCCTCTGCCACTCGGAGTTGACGAGGTCAGCGCAGGGAACCAGCAGGTCCGGACGCCGGTGGATCGGAACAGCGCGGATCTTTGCGGGTTGATCAGAGCCAGTGTGGACCTTCTGATTAACTTCTCTACCCAACTCTGATATCTCACAGTCACTGCCAGCATGCTGTGTCTCATACTCTGACATGGAGTTGTGGCGTTCATCAACATTGGGCTCTCCTTCACTCTCGGGTTTGGAATTTGTTGATATGAAAGGTTCAGACCTGTAGTGATCAGGGTTTAACTACAGTCAGTCTCCATGTGAAACCCAACAGCAAACATGCAATTTCTCCGTTTTGTGGTGAGTCTGAACACATACACTTCTCAGCAGTGCACAAGAGGAGGCCTGATCAAAGATGCTCTTCAAGATAACATCCCTCCTGTGACAAATCTAACACAGAAACCTGCCTTTCATCATGTGGAAAGCAGCACACTCGGATCAGATGTATATGGCTTCTATCCTGGCAGGTACTAAGCTCCACACTGCTGTGAGAGGAGACGCATGGAAAAGGATGCAATGAGAGCACTGATCTCTGCCTAATCTCTGTCTCTGCACTCCCTGTTTCAAACCCCCTGCAACCTTTTTCTGTCTGCCTCTCCTGTGCCTGGAGCAGACTCCCCACCCTGGACAAGATCTTAATGCAGCTTTGCTGGAGTTACTGGAGTTATGTGCTCTGCTCATGGACACTTAGCTGCTGCTGAAAGTAATATAGACAGTGGGAGTAAATATAGCAAGGAGAGAGAGGGGATGACACCCAGCAAAGGGAGCTTTTTGTGTGTGTGTGTGTGTGTGTGTGTGTGTGTGTGTCGTTCTGTTCAAACTGTCCTGTAATTGTATATTTGTTTTATGTTTTTTTTGTTTGTTTTGTTAGTACCTGCCTTAGGACTACGGATCAAATTTAGCTTTTGTGCTAATTCCGGCATATTTACATGGATACTATTTTGCTGATGTGTTGATTAATGTGGACTGTCCTTATTAAATAAATAAATAAATGAAATGAAATGAGGGGTCCAACTTGAGGCAGCTGCAAGAGCTCAGCCTCTGTACGTAAACCAATCCTTCATGAATTTCAGTCAGATTGAAGTGGCTAAAACTAGATTTATAGTATTTTTTTCTTTAAAAATACAAGTGAAATTATCAATATGTAACTGAAACAGTTACCTGTCTTGTGTTATGTTTGTTTTCAGTGTATGTAAGCAGCACAGAGCTGTGTGATTTCTCTGCACTTTAGTCCATGGCATATTTCCCCTCAGGGCAGATAAAGTATGTAATAATATCCACTCTAATAAAGTCAATCAAAACACATTTCCAACTCTGCTTCAAATGTTGTAACTCTCTGGGTATTGTCAGGATAATTTTAGGGTGAGTTAATTGTTAAATGGAATGAATTCAAACTTAGTCCACTTCTGCATCTCTGAGTGTCTTATGCTCAGTGAGTGTGACAGTGCACTCTGAGTTTACAAAGATGAGACGTTAAACTGAGCCTGCTATACCTGAGCCTGCTATACCTGAGCCTGCTATACCTGAGCCCACTTTGACAACACAAAACTGATTGTAAATGACAGAAACAAAATATGTTTCTGTCATTTGCTTTATACTGTAGTTGGGCAAACAGCTCCAGTCTGCTGTCAGCAGTGTAACTGCATCAGAGGGTTTCGGTCAATACATTTTCACCTGCATTTCTATGGAAAAACTCTGTATTAGCATGATAGCCGTGGCTACACTAAGCTTATATACTGTACAGTGTACTTCACCACTACTTATGTGCACTCAACATGTCCTGTTTGAAAGATGTTTCCTTAAGGTCACTTTAATGCTGCCATCACGCTGTCTCATCAGTCTGAAAGGGGAAGTAGAGCTCTATCTAACACATCTCACCACACAGTTTCTTAACAACTGCAAATGTAGAGAAAACACAGTTTACACTATAAAAATACAGATTATATTGTGTCCTCATTTAATTCTTTTTTTTTTGTATTTCCACTGCATACAAACAGAAGTGTAAACTTAAAAGTATTCATTCTGCAGCGACATATTCTCATTCATATCAAAGTATACTTCACGGCCACGCTGACGCCGATGTTACAGTTTGGCACTTTGAAGCACAAAGCAAACAATCAGTAGGAGACGGGAGGAGAGATGCAGTCACAAAGCTTAAAGTACTGGTTGATTCATTTAACGTTTTGTTTTGGAAGAGTCCCAAACTATATTAATTTTAAATTATCTTTACAAGACGTAAGCAAAACACTTATTTTAAAGTAATGAAAAAACAGGAGATTCTCTCATTTCTTTAAAAAAAAATGATGGGGTCAAAATATTCTGTAAATGTTTTAACTAACTAACAGAAAAAAATGTACAAAAACTCACCGAAAGAGAAAGCTGAAGTCAAACGCCTGCGAGTGTTACTCAGCTGTGAGCTTGTTTGCACCAATTCAACGAAATTTCACAAATCGCCACGTCACATCCACAAAAAGGATGTTAGAGAGACGTAAGAGGAAAAGAGGAAACTGGCAGTTTGACCTTCACACAACAGAAGGAAAGAGAAAAAAACACTGACAAGTGAACCTTCAGATCCACTAGGTCACCTCAAATACACTTGTTGGATTTTTTTCTCATTTGGAAGATGCTGAGTGGATTTTAAGATACCGCACAGAGAAAACTTTTTTAAATATCTAGAATCTGCTTTCTCTAAATGTGTTACATTTGTCCAGAGCAACTTTTACAAGTATTAATTTAAAACTCTCATTAGGGAGATACCAAAATGCAGTCTTTTTTATTATTATTTATTTTGGGGCTTTTTATGGCTTTATTAGAGAGACAGGAAGGCGGATAGTCAGAAATCAGAGAGAGAGAGAGAGAGAGAGAGAGAGAGAGAGAGAGAGAGAGAGAGGGCAAAATGAGCCGGACTCGAAGCCGGCCCCCCTGCCTGAGGACTGTAGCCTTTGTACATGGGGTGCACAAACTATCCACTAGGCCACGACACCCCATGCACAATCTTTGATAAGTCCTCTGGGTAATTGCATCTCTGCTCCTGTGGTTGTTGTCTCTATTTGAGGAAAATTTGCGCATACTTCTCAGCCAGTAAGAATTAAAACTCTGCATCATAGCGAGGTCTGCATGAAGACAAAGAACAAATACTTTTGAGGACTGGAAGTTTGAAGAAGGCCTTCGACTTGACAAAAATGCTGCAGATGACTGATGATTTTACAACTTTCTTTAATAAATAAAGATTTAAAAAAGGTGATAGTCTTGCTGCCTTGTCGTTTGTATCAGCTCTGCGCTTGAATATGAAATGATTGTGATCTTGTTGCTTTGAAAGCAAGGCTTATATATTATAAAGGCTTGTATTATGTGGTATCGTCATGGAGGTTTCCATTACCAATGATAATGGGTTGTTAAAAATATACAAATGTTAATTATTTAGTTCCTATGAATCAGAATCGCAATGGCATTGTTGTTTTTAATATGAGCCTAAGCAATAAATACATCGCAAAATCTGTATGTATTGCACTGCTAAAAAAAAAACTATCTAAAGGATCACTCAGTTCACATTTGACCTGTTTGATGGAGACACATGCTTCATCAACATGTTGCAGTCAGATGATACTTCAGCTAACTTCAGATAATTATTGGGATGTCTCCAATTTGAGAGAATCTCATCTGTCCAAACGTCTGATAACTTCCCCACACACAATTCTACCTATCCTAAGTTTAACTCGGGATTCATCTTCATCTTTGATGCATGAAGTACAAACTACTGGTCTGGATAAATTCGTCACGTGGACGTCCAGTCATACAAAAGTATACTTATTTTGTTTTTCACAGGTAAGGGAAGCCCCGCAGTAAAGCAGGGCATCAAAAAATTGAGTTATACTCTTATTGTTCCTCTCCACGGAAATCTTTAGTAAAAGGCGAAAGATTTATACGATCTGAAGAGAAACAAGAGTGATCTGAGGAAGAAGAGGCAAAGTGTCGAAAGCCATTGCTGGCCTTACCACTCTCTATTACGGTTCATTATAACACTTCCAAAACAATACAACAGTTTCAACCACAAAGGTTAAATAATTTAAGTTGTACAATTCTCTAACTCGCATCGTAACGTTTGAAATGAAAATATTAAAAAATACGAACATTTTATGTACACAATTGCTGCATTGCACGCTATGCATTGTGGGAGATTTAATTCTGACCTCGTGTCTAACGCTTTAAAGTTAAGTTTTGCTTGTTATTTTGATGTTTGCCGATAATGATGTGAAGTTAAGGTTTAAAGGAAAAAAATAAGCGTTTACATTGGACTTAAATAGCGCTAGTTTTGTAACTCGTTCAGCTGAAACTGTACGCATGCGCATTAAGTACTACAGAGATTAAACGTATCAGGAGAGCATAGTAGTCTTCCCTTCTACAATGGCGGAAACAAGCTCTGTATGCTGAAACTATTACCAATATATGGTCAGTGTAAATACAACTTAATATAACTATGCTTGTTTTGCAGGGCACATTCAATAATGGTTCATACTATATTTTTTTCACACACTCAGGGTCATCATTTGGTTTGTTCTTATTTCCAGTGTCAACAACCTGTGTACAACTGAGCGTAGTAAGTTATACTCGAGCCAACATATCTTTGCGTAGAGTAAATTCACAAGCATGTTCGTAAATGATACAGGTTTCTGGTTAATTTTTAAACGACCTGACACAAACAAATACTGAAAACATTTCGCTTATATCTTATAGAAAAATATCACTACCCTCCTTTCTAATTCTGTACTCCTCTCAGCATCAACATCCATGTAAGGTAAAACTACAAATGTGACAGATGGTGTCCCTCACTGCATGATAGCTCGCTCATGTGCTAACTTTAGAAGTGTATGCAGAACAAGACCATTTGTTTTGACAAAAGGAGGAACCGCAAGTTTATAAGACGTAAACGAATCATCCAAGGATATTTATCACCAGTGTAACGTTACCTACATGTTTTATTCTCGGGTTGGGTCGCCGGTAATCCTCTTCATGAAGCTCAAGTGATTGACTGATCTGCGGTCAGCTTTAGGTCTTGCAAAGAGGGAAACAGCTGATGATCCCCGCTGACATCTGCCCCACGATCAGTTTCAAAACACGAGACCTGCACAGACTGTCGGTAACGAGAGGAAACTGTGCAATAGGTTGTTTCACGGGTATAGTCAGTCATGTCTGCCACCTTGCGGAAGGGAGTGTAACTACATTAAAACATAAACTGCAACAAGTTGATAACTTTCTTAACAGTTGTTAAAATCAAATTAAATGATCATGATATAGAATTGAAGTAAGTCGATTATAATTTACAGTAACTAATTATCACTTCCACAGCTGAAAAAACAAGAGCATTGTACCTGTGCATGGTTTGAAGAACCACGTGATCTGATTTTCCAGTAGACAATTTAAATATTATATCAAAATTGTGTAGGCTATTCAAGCAGGTCATTATTATGCTCCCCCAAGAATATCTTCAATGAAAGGCGAATGTTCGCGATTTGAATTGACGTATCTGATTGTCGAAAACCTTAAAGCTCAACGTAGCACGTTCAAAGTGTCAAATTCCTACTCGCACTCAAGTTTTAGATAAATGCATTGAAATACTATAGCAGCTATAGAGGGCAAGTATTGCAGGAGCAGCGCGACAATGCAACGCCTCTTCCACTCGAAAATAGTTCCTTGCATTTCATTACATTTGGAATCACCTGGAAAACAGCAGTTACTACTAGCAAACAACATTCAGAAAGGGGAAACTTCAGTTACAGAACTGTTGTTGGTGTTCGGTCCAGACTTTTTCTCACCTTTAAAGCACTTCAAACTTTTGCATCCCATATGGTGGGTTTGATCATCTTAAATGTTCAACAAATAATAAATATAATAAACTAAAACGTGTACTTTGAGTTTTTTTTTATTCCATCCCGAGACTAAGTATAAAGAGCATAGCTGGGTTATGTTTGTAATAGTTTTAGCACACTTCCCACTCAGTAAACTGAAGACGATGGTGTTAGTCAGGGAAATCAAACAGATGCACATTTTTTAACAAAATGTTTGCTTTATTTTTTTCATTTTTTTTCTTCTATCCAGGACAACTCATTCAAGGATAATCAAGGAGAAATAAGCACTACTGTTTTCATTAGAATTTTTTTCTTCATTTTTTTTAAACATTTTGTCAGAGATGGATGATGAATTTTATCAGAATTGGTCAAAGTAAAACAAAAAATAATAAATGAATATATAATAACAATACATTAATAATTAATTCAATACAATGAAGTGTGGCGTCAATGATAGAATAACAATTGCCCAGAAAACGTCGGGTTGTTATTGTTTTCACTGCTTCTTCTGTGGTACTGCAATAATCACCAGCACTAACTCAACTCAATCAACAACAGTAGAGGAAGGAATGGAGCGCGCCCCAAAGTTCTGCACCCCGGCCTCCCAAAGAGGAAACACTTTTTTTTATTTAAATAATATTTTATCAAAGCTTCTGTTTTTTTTATCTTCATAAAACGTTTCTAAAACTTATCTGTCTTCTTTAAACTTCTTTTTTTTTTTTGCATTTTGATTTTTTCCTTTGAGAGATTCTTAAAGTTTTAATCTCCATTTTACCACAATATGACTGTTTTTGCAAGTGTGGTAACCCTTGTGTTTTTGCGGGTCTGTATCTGTACGCCTGTCTGTGTTTGCATGTTGGTGTGTCCCTTGCTGAGGCTTGTTGGAACAACTCTCGGGTTGTTTAAGCGCTCACATGAATGCAAAGCCTGCACCTATGAAGCGTGACGATCTGTTTTTTTAAACGTGTGTGGAGTATGTGTGCATGATACGTCCTTGCGTGCCTTGCCTGTATTAGGCAATTGCAGCAAAGACATTCATACTATGAGGTTGAAGCTGGCTCAAGCAACACAATGTGTGGCCTTCAACTTGCTGTCTATGTGTGAGTTTATTTGTCTGTGCATCTACAAAGACAGCTTATCAAGGAGTGTGTTGTATGTGCATGAGGGTGAGCAGACTAAGTAAAGTGAGCGTCTCTCAGTGCCTACATAGGTGTCAGTGTACATGTATGTGTGTGTGTGTGTGTGTGTGTGTGTGTGTGTGTGTGTTGTCATACTGTGTGCGGGCATATATGTACTTAAAAGTGAGCCAAAAACAATTGGCATGGCCTATGTAAAGCTTTTAATGAGTCCGTAAAGCCACTGCATGATGTGAGGGAGGACATATGTTTGTGTGTGTGTGTGTGTATGTGTGTGTGTGTGTATGTAATAGAAGGCACGGAGGGTGGTGTGGGAGGCTCAGTCTCTCAGGTCCATGCTGGAGCCGAACAGGGCCACCAGCTGCTCCTCATAGTGGGCGATGTTCCTCTTCATGATCTCCTTACAGGAGCCCAGGAGGCGCTCAAACGCCTGTATGTCTATTACTGCAGAAAGAGAGAGAGACAAAGGGAATTTAAGGCCGTCTGTGTCGAGTCATCTCAGTTGCTGAACAACCCAGTGGGCGCTTTGTTACTAAAGCAAACAATGGCGGCATATTGCTGCAGCATGGTTTGGTTTAAGAGAGTGTGATGATGTTTTGGTAGCAAAAGAGGCGTGATGTGTAAATAACGGCTATAGCATATCACTCACACACAAATCTGTTTTATACTGCCGGCTCCCCCATTAATACAGCAGTTCATTTTTGTCTCTCTTGCAACCTGTGCTGCAAATTGAAAGGCAGAAGGACATTGCCTTGTGGCTCTCCATACCTTTACACTGTTATTCACAAAGGTGACGTGAAAAACAGTGTAATATACCTTTAACGATAATACAAACAACTTAAATGTTTTTTTATTTTTATTTTTATAGATTTTGTCTTCAAACATGTCCCATTCCTGTGGGATATGCTCTCAGTTTCCAGTCTTCAACATAGAATTGAAGAAACAGTTTGGACGTGCGAGGAGGAGTTTTTTTATACAGCCGTAAAGACTTATAAAGTCTACTGATTTTAATACGTGCTTGGATACAGGAAGTAAGACAGTCCTGGGACCATCTTAAATGTCCTTGCAAGGCCCAAGAGGGTGCTGCTCATCTTTTCCAGTCACAACATGACAGGGAAAAGGATGAGAGTACAACAGACAGCGTCTTTTATTGAAGAACAGGGAGTGACATTTCTCTGTTCCAAAGCCGAGCAGCTGTTCAGGACTGGTTGTTGTACACTTAGTACTGTTAACAGAAAGTGAAGTGAGAGACAACACAGAGAGGTGAGTGTAAATACTGACAGGTGCTATGTAACACGGGATAAAATGAGGGAGCACCTAAAAAATACTGTGGCTGACAACATCGACGATGACAAATGACGCCTGTGAATAAACAAATAAAAGCTGTAAAATTAGAGCCATAAAAAAAGGCTGAAGCAGATTTCACAACAGACAGAAGAGAGGTGAGAGAGCGACACGATCAGCTGTTAAAAAAATCCTCTGTTCATTTTTAAATGTGAAGAGCTGCTCCTCCACTGTTGAGCCTGAATGAGTGCACCCACTTTAAAAACGACATCATTGCTGAATGGCCTTCAATCAAAAAATAAATACAAGGTGATGACAGACGAGATGAAGGGCGACATATTCATTACAGATTCAATCAAACTCTAAAGGTGAATATTATCTCATGATAAACTGTTTGAAAAGTCTAATTAGTGGAACATTCACAACATAGACAGTGTTGTAAAGTCTAATGGTTTGAATGCTGCTGAATAATAGTTATTTAGTTCAGCTTAAGTTGTATGAATGAAGCAGGTATTTAATGAATGTTATTAACAATTATAGTTTCATATACAACATGCAAACTCCTTTAGGATGGACAGATTGAGGGTAACAGAACAAACACCTGTCATAAAATATGTTTGTGTGTACCCTCCACGTATGGAGGGTCAAGTCCTCTAATTGGTCAGCTGAGGTTTGAATCCAAACCTTGGCTCCTTTCGCGCATGTCACTCCCCACTATCTCTCTCTGTCCCCAATTTCTGACTATCCACTCACCTGTCTCTAAAATAAAGGCGTAAAAAGCACAAAAATATACTTTGTTTCAATCTCTAAAATCCCCCTGCATTTATTTGACACAGGCATTCAATTACTTCTGAACAAAACTTTTGCAAAAGTCTCTGACTGAAACCTGCAGACCTTTTTCATGCATACAAAGTTAACTACAATGAATAGGATCTTGTTTTGGAAGACAGTGTGTGAGAGAGAGGGAGAGATAAACTTTAACCCTCTTCCTTCTGAAAATATGCAGTCTGCTCTTTTTTTTTTTCTTAGAAAGAATTTGAAGTTCAGCTTCATGTTCCATCTCATTCTTCTTAAGATCAACTGGTTTTTTTTTTGGTTTTTTTTACTGAAAATACTCTGATTTTTATTCTGCAGATATGACAGCAGGTCCTACTATTTTCTTTGTGCAGCCAGGGTGACCAGTTAATGTGATCTATCAGGTGCTTCACTCGCCAGACAACCAGATAAACAATTCATATATACAGGCATCTAATAGAAACCAACATTTACTTAATTTAAATTAAAATCACCGCTTATTTATCAAAACATGCAGCCCCTCCGCTAGTAAAATGGGCTTTTATTTGAAGTGTAACAGTGGTATCAAGTTCCTTGGCATTAGTGGAAATAGTGGAAACAGCTTCTTTATAAACATATTTGACTCCATCGTGGTTTTTCTTGAGAGCAGACAAAAACATTCAACAAGTGTACGACTTCTTACCCAAACACTTGACATTGCCCACTGCGTAGGCTGAGGCGGCCCGGGGCTTGTTAGTGACCAAGGCCAGCTCCCCGAAGTAGTGACCCCTGCTACAGCGCGTTAGCTCCACCTCCGCATTGTCTGCGTGGTCTGCCTTCGTCTGCAGGGGAGAGAGGAGAGGATTAAAGGTGAGAAACCGCTGAGAGCCTTGTTCCCCCCTCCCCCCAGTGAGAAACACTGAACATCTGAGCAGACCCTCGTGATTTCTAGCTGTTGCTAGGCAAAACCAGGGAACACTCGTCTTCTCTGATGGTCTTTGTAGGTGAGTGTGGGTTGACATTGTCATAGTGTTTACTTTGCATTAACTAACATGTAGAGCGATACAGTCAGCGTCAGTATCATTATACAGATAAAAAACATTTTTCAGTGTTCACAGGGCCCGAAACCAGTGTATGACATTTCCCCACAAAGTTTGTGATCTGTTAAAAAGAACTTGAAGATAAAATGTGCACACCAGTAAGCAAACATTGACCCGGACGTACATACATTCTAGAAGAAGGGCAAAGTGGTGACACAGATGGTGAGGTTGTGAATTGAAGCCAGAATGTATAATAATGTCTCTCTTTCCTGACAGATCCACGTTATTGAAAACCGTCAATTTCATTAATACGGTGCATGAAGTACGTAAGCAGTTTTCCACAAGTTACTTTCAATCTGAAAAGATATAAACTTTTACAAAACAAAAAAAGTCTGCCACATATTTCATCAGCGTTGTCTCACCTTCATTGTCCTGGAGCGCAGAGGATCGGACTGTAAAATAAAGTAACCACTGATATAGAGACCCAAAGTAGACTAACAAAAACACTTTACAGTTTTTATTTATATCATTTATCATCAAGTGTGATTTTTAGATTTATATATCTGTTTCACACATATGGCCTTCTTGTTACTCAGCACATCATACATCTCACTTTTTTACAGTCTATAGTGCAGACAGTTTGCCCCCTGTCAAACTCCTGATTAATCATTTCCTAGAGTGAGGGAGACTGTTGACTGTGATGTGAGAACTCGATAAATGAAGAAAACAGTGTAAACATGCAGTATAAACACTGCAGTATAAACACTGCAGATACACTTGTGTGTAATGATGAAAGGTGGATGTTTTGGCGCTGCAGGGGGACTGCATGAATGCAACAGCAACGTGGTGTCATTCTCTGACTCTTGTTCATTTTTTACCTTCCTCCTGTAGCAAACAAACGACATGTGCCGTTTAACCTCCACTTCATTTACCAGCTCCTCCATTTCTGAGTAAGAAAGTTTATTTTCTTTGTCTTACTTCCGGTTGTCGCCGTGATCCAGTGCTGGAAACCTTCGATCTGCTCGCTTGTATGCATTTTAATTCATGAGGTGCTTAGCACTGACGATTTAAGATTGAATATGGACGCGCAGAGGGCGGCTTATGGGGGCTGATCCATGTACACACATTTCCAGGTGGATCTTGATATATAAAGGGAAAATTGTGTGCATACGCATTGGTTTTATACGTCAGAATTATTTTGGGCGCATGCCATTTCCTTGATCACTGCACCTACTGTACAGAGGAATGACGGGTGAAGATGTGTGTTTACCTACAGCACAGAAAAAGAAAAATGGGAAAATCACAAACAAAAAACATGCAGGTCTTACTTTACTCTTCATCATGATCTTGACCTCCCCAGATTCTACGATATAGAAGCAGTCTGCCCCGTCGCCCTGGAGGAAAGAAAACAAACCACTTCTGAATACATGTAAGGTATCGTAGCTCTAAATGGTGTATATTTTAATTCTAAACATTTCAATGCTACCTCTGTATGAATACACATCTCATCCAATTTCTTACCTGTGTGATGATGCGCTCACCATCTGTGAACTGCTTTGCTCCTAATACATCCACTATCTTCATCCTCTCGTTTGCCTGGACAGCGAAAGAGAATGTGAAACCGTGGGAGAATTATTTTACTGACCAGGCATGGCATCATTTACATGACACTTCTCTCTTAAAATATATTTAACTTCTCTAGCTACTCTCTGTTTAGACAATTCACCACACACCCATGCTGTTTACATATTTTGCTTAGTGGTGCAAAGAAAGTAGGGTGACATTTTCCCAGAAGAAAACATTTTTAGGGATTTGTTGTAGACTATAGGATAAGAAGATTCATTTTGTATCCATCACTAAGACTCCCCCCCCCCCCCCCATAAAAGCTGGCTGGTGTTTTAGTCGTAACTTGTTGTGTGTGTTAGATGGCTAGCTTCACGTGTTAGAGCCTTCAATAGAAAGATGTGGGAGGGAAAAAGCTACAAGCTGCTGGAGACAGTGAGAGGATTTTCTATATTGCCTACAGCCAATAAACTCACCTCCAGTGATTTGAGTAAGGGCACAGACTCGATGAAACACTCGTACATCCTCCTCTTCTTGGCATTGTTCTTCACAATGAGTCTACGAAATGTGGCCCGGTCCTAGGAAGAAAAAAACACACACGTAAACAAACAACTCCTGAATGCATGCTATGTGACAGTGAACCAATGTTGCTGCTGTTCTTCTAATTCACCACAAGGAGGAGCTGCAGTAGCAGAAACTCAGCAGAGCGGCAGCTCCATTCATAGATATCAGAACTCCATTCTTAACAAGTATCAGCATGAATGCATTATGTAGGTTCTAAAAAACTGAACTTGCTACCAATACAATTTAGGTGATAAGAAAGGCCACACACAGACTTAGAAATTAACTGAGAGGGCATCCTAAAAGAAGGTGAAACTAACAGAAATGTGAAGAAAACAAACACCTAACTGTCAAAGTGAAATGTTAAATCATAAAAAAAAACCTCCAGGTCTTGACTATGACAGTGTAATTTTCTGCAAAGGATTAATCAAGTATCTATCTATCTATCTATCTATCTATACTCATTATGATTACAAAAAACCCACATCTAATTAAAATCTACAAATGCCACTGGTTGTGCTACTTAAGTTTGCCTCTGTATGTTTTCATGTTCTTACCAGCCCCCATAACGCTCCTTCCTGGGTGGCGATGATGGTGGCGGCTCGTGGTGTGTTGTACATGAGTGCTAGCTCCCCGAAGCTGCCCTTATTGTCATAATGACCCACGCATGTTCCTGATACGGTTATGTCAAAGATACCCCTGAGAGAGAGAGAGAGAGAGAGAGAGAGAGAGAGAGAGAGAGAGGGCGAGAGAGAAAGAGAGAGAGAGGGCGAGAGAGAGAGAGAGAGAGAGGCGAGAGAGAGAGAGAGAGAGAGAGAAGAGGGTGAGAGAGTTTGTAAAAGAGAGAAATAAAAACTGGAATGAGGACGAGAGTCAAAAATCAAACACGAAACATAAACCTTCAATAACTTTGATTTATTAAATGAGCCAACAGTTTAGAGCTGGAAGGTGTTTTGGTTATTGATCCACTGACTGGTTTAAATACACATCTAATTGCAGATTATCAGTAGCCTCTGGTCAGGCCTCTGTGTTAGCCCACTGAGTGAGAAAATCACTAACTGTGTTTGTGCTGGTTCACTAGTGTGTAAAACTGTGTGCATTAATCTATTCAAGTATATATTCTCAAACATTTTCATCTGATTAACTGTGACCATAAATGCACGTGAGAGTAATTTAGCTCATCTGTGAACATGGTTGTATATCTTCAATTTCAGCATCAAACAATGTTGTCATGGTTGTTTCTTATAGGCAGCAATACAATGGCAGAGCTGCTCTGTCTCCCCCTCCCTTCCATTCCTCCCTCCACTCTCTCTGCATGAGGATTAAACCTGCACTAGGTAATTTGCAGCGTTGTTGCTCAGAAGGATTAACTAGTCATTTTGAAGGATAGTCTGTCCTCTCAGTGGCTGAGTAGTGGGGATAAAACCCTTGTCGCTAGAGGAGTATTAAATTAGTTTGTCTGGATTAGTACGAGGTTGGGTATGATGATCAGTGATCACCATCTATGCACTAGTTAAAATGCTCTGCTGCTTTTTCTTATATAAAGAATACAATGCAGGGATAAAGCTGTGATCATTGATTAGTTTCACCACAATACATCTCCAATAGGAAACATAGAAAACATAAAGCAAATCATCTCCATACAACCATCTTTGCTTTGTAAAACAGACAACTCAGACACACCTTCAACTTGTAAGACCCGAAAGTGACGGATATAATCTGAGCTGTACGACTGTAGCTCGAGGACAAATGTGTATTCCTCCCAGCACTGAAAGGATGGGAGCATAATAAGAACTCTCCCTGCTCAGTCAACCCGTGGGCAACAGTGACTTCGCTAACTTTTAACTTCCTATGATTGGAGATGAAACATGAAAAGGGATTTGTAAACACAAGTAAGATGTTTCAGTGTTATCAGAAAATTGCAAGCACCAAAGATGTGATACATTACAAAGAAAAGATAAAGACGGAGTGCGAGTGGAAGGGAGAGGGGAAGGAGGACAGGAGTAAGGAGAGAAAGAAGAAGGTTAGAGCGAGGGATGACTTTTTAATTAATTCATTTCAAACTTGTTAGTTTGTTGTAAACTTGAGGCGGAAACAATAAGATACAAGTTATTAAAGACGTTCATGCTCTGCTGAAATAAAACAAGTTCAAATAAATTGCATGGATAGAGTATTTTGTGCCTTTCTTTAGGGGTGGTGGTTACGTTCGGGTGGTGGGCCATCACCCCAAATTAATGGTAGGGGAAACACTGAGGTCATTTACATAATGATGATGGTTCATTCAACTCTTACCTATCATGCATCCATTCGGTTTAACACCGGCCGATATTTGCCCTATTGACAGACATTGGCCCATACGCAAATAATGTAGTATGAACCTATGTCAGTATGAGGTGTTTACCTGTCATGTCATATAAATGTAATGCTGGCATGTAGTACACCTGATAGGGATGGAATTTGGACTCCTTTTAGTGATCATTTGGCTCATCTCAGTGAAAAGATCCGGCTCTTTCGGCTCCAAACTGCTCTTCATTTCATACAACTTTGGCTTTTTGAAATCAGTCAGATTTACCAATGTTTCGACTAATGATTGATATGTGTGCAAGTGTTTGCTGAAATGATTCATAGTAAATATACTTAACTGTATAATTCCAATAATCACACTGTTTTAAATAATGTTTGGTATAAAAATATATAAATGTTATACCACCGAGCACTCTGAGGGGTGTGGAGAAAAGATCACCCATTCATTCTGTTGTGTACCAAAAAATAAACAAACAAACAAAAAAGAAAACATCTCTCAAACCTTCAGTCACTCATATTTAAGAGCTGGCACATTGAAGGACCTACTGACTCAGATAAGAGGTGTTTTTATTGGGTAGAGCAAGTCATCTAGATTTTTTTTGTGGTCAAACATGACAGAAAGGCAAAAAAAACAACAACCCACCGATATCTGCTTAAGGCAATCATCTTAATCAGTACATGCTCTCCATATCAACATACCATCAGTGCATCTCTATCACAATGTGTTTGGGCACTGCTCTCTTTGAGTTATTTTAACAAACCGCTTTCTATGACTGACTCCATCAAAAGCTTTGGATCCATCAATAAAACTCATGCTGATGAGTTTTGACATCTATACCTGTTTACAATTACCTTTAGTGCATATATACACACATCTTAGCGGTGATGAAAGTTAATGAACTCATTTAATCTCTCAAGCAGAATTCCTTTCAGGACTTTATGTGTGCTGGCTAAAGCAATGGGCCTGTAGTTATCCATGCTTGAGAACTTGCCAGCCCTGTCTTTACTGACTTGATCTAACAGAACTGACAACACTGAGAAAGGTAATAGCCCATTAATCAGGAAGCAGGTACAACAAACTGAAAGAAGAGGAGCTGTCCTCGGACTGGCATACAAAAAGGTGGTCAGCAGTGTTATGGTCTAAGCTGCTTGATTTGTTATTTGACATTTCATGTGAACTAATCCCAGTTACAGCATCACTCTCCAAATTCCCTGCTTTTCTGTTGCAATATTAAATGTAACACTCTAACTTTTGTGATTTCAGGTAGAAGTTTTAAATAGCTCATCAGAACAAAAACTAATGACCCCTTTCCTACGATATGTGTTAACATACCCCCATCATATGGTGCGTTCCATTTGATCTCGGAAGTCAGAAATTCTGAGTTGCCAGTCTGATACGTTATCAGGAATGCCCCCCTGAGGTCGGAATTCTGACTAGGAAACTCAGAGCAACTTCAGTAATCAGAGTTAAAATCCATCATGGCTGATGCATGGATCAACAGTAACATTTAAGCTGTAACTGTTTATAAGCAACTTAGTCCTCTTTTTGTGTAATTCAATTAATCACACCAAAAGTATCATGCATGTTCTATCCGTGGACATGTCGTCATGTTATTTAGCTTGCAAACTATCACGTAGTGTGTTGTAACCACCTGGTATTAGCTAACAAAACAAAGGTACTCCTGGAGGTGGCCATGTTGCTTGTCCAACTTGTTGCCAACTTGCAACTGGAACGCGGTGAACTCGAGTGTGACGTCTCTACCAGCTCCGAGATCGGAGGGAAATGGAATGCACCGATATCTTTCCAGCTTGCCCCTGAGCTTCTGTGTGAATTCAGTTGATAAATAATAAGTTTCTGTTGTGTGTAAAGGGTGATCCTAACGTTCTAATGGGACACAGGGCAGCTAGATGCTGGAGGGATTAGTTATGCTACTTTATAACTTACTTGAGAATAGTTACAATACATGTTATAGACTAACTGTTTCCTATAATTATGCTTACAGTAATGCAATCAAGATGTAGTCTTATGCATCAATTACATAATGAAACACATTGTTATAAAAATGTGTTACTCAAACTTGTTTCCTTTCCTGCTTTTCTGTCTCAATCCTGATTATCCCTCCATTTCTGTGTTTGTCCGCGCTCACACCCCACCCTGCTGATGACATTAGCGACCTCCTACGCCTTGAAGAGGCCAGGGAAAATCCCCGGGACAGTATATGACCAGGCAGGCATGCTGCTCTTAAAGGTCATCGCATGTCTCTTGTACAGGGAGCATGCTGTGTTAGAAAGTAGTGTGTGTGCAGATGGAGAGATACAACAAAACAAGTGGAACTGTACTGCTGTGCTGAACTGATATGTGCCATGCCAACAATGAATCAGGGTGGGATAAACAATGACCAAGCACCAGGAAAATGCTCCTTAAGTAAGCCTATTCTCACTTTGGTGGCAGGGTTCAAAAACAACAACACCATATTAAGTCCTTTTCTAAGCTATGATCACTTAGGTTAATAGTTACAGCATACAAATGACTGTAGCTGGTGAACAAAGATGTTAATCCTTCTTCAGTCATTGGTGCGTATCAAAGTTGTAACCATCACTTAATAATCAACAATCAAAATGTTAAACCTTCAATTTTCCTTTCATCTTTTTGTAGTGCAAGTACCTGGGAATGTCAAGATTCATACAACAGTCTGCATCTTCAGTAAAAAGAGTATCTATTTCACTGTTCCTGCAACATCTTACTGAATTTCCTCCCAGGCGACTAAACCTGTCCTGTGAGGCGTGTGTACACAGCAACAGTTTGCATTAGCAAAATGGCAGGAAAATCACACACAGCCTTCATATTCACTGTATACAAACACAACACTATATTAATAAACACAAGCACAACTGTAAAAACCAGCAAAATGGCCATAGTAATGTTAATTTGTACACATTTTTATTGGTTGTGTCTGCACTATTTTTTGCATTTCAATATACAACAACCATCTTATATGTCCTCAAAGATTCCCAGTATATGTCTGTGTCAACATTTCTGTCCCGTTCTGAATGTGTAAAATGGACAACTGATAACATCCAATTGAAGTCGCCAGCATGTGATAATAATCAAATCTAAATCATATAATGGTATACTTCAAGACATCAGCAAATATTGTTTCATTGTCCAAAGAATTCAAAATTCATGCACTATTATACACGTGGTCTCACCTTCACATTCACACACTGATGGTAGAGGCTGCTATGTAAAGTGACCATCAGAAGTGACTAATCCCATTCATATACCGCCGGTGAAGCAGCGGGAGCAACTTGGGTGTGCCTAAGGACACATCTCACATGTGGCTGCAACAGGGGTGGATATTAAGTTAAATTTGCCAGTGGCCCTCTAAGCCACTAGTTTTCCAAGATCACTGATCGACCATTGTAGCCGCTGGCCCAGGAACGTTACTTTTGATTCGAAAAATAACAGTCACCAATTTACTCTTGAACAATTCAGATGCTAGAGTAAATTACAACTTTTAATTAATTATTTGAGCTCTAGTTATAAAAATATTTGGTATTTTTCTTATATTTATTCACCATGCTGGTAACTGTAAGAGTCTACTTAATCTGATATTAATATGAGGCTGTGATAGAGCTGGAATCTCTCCTTCTCTCTTCTCTGTGAGAAACTCTTCATCCTTAGATCTTTACTTTAGGAGCTCTTTTAAGGGCTAAGATGCTTTGTGAATAACTTTTATATTTACCAGGATCTAGTCTTTAACTTTAAGGGGAAATTTAGCTGCAGCGTGTTCCAGCCCCAGTTGTCTGTCACTGTGGCTGAAACTTTCCTCCCTTCTGTTTTCATCATGCCCTGCTGTCATTCAACTCTTCCGGTGATTTTTTCCCATTGAATGCAGATTTAAGCTTTTGGCTTTTGTCGGGATCTGATGGTTTTAAAAACGTTTTATGTGTGTTTTAGTAGAGAAAACCTGCACTAAGATCTGTGTGCAAGTGTACAGTTCGAGAGTAGTGAGTTTTAATGTCGAGCCCTGAACTGCAGGAGCTGGGGATCAAACTCTCAACCTCTGACTGACTCTACCAACTGAGCCCTTAAGAAAAACAGATGACTGAATTTTGTTGCGTATTTCAGTGACATAAATCCATATCGAGTTTTAACTCACAAAATGTGCACACAGTGATAATCTTCAGCTTTTTCAGTTCGTAGCAGTGACTGTGGTGTAAAATATGATCACCTCTAGCCTTTTTGTCATCCAAGCCCCTTTAAACATACATTGTTGAAGTAAACAAATGTGCCAGCTTTTATGATCCAATGTGAGTGTATGCCTCCTACCTCTCAATAACGTAGAAATTGTCTCCATCGTCTCCCTGGTCGATGACGTGCTCCAGGGGCTGTACTAGTAACTCAAACATGGCGTCCAGCACTTGTGAGAACTGCTCCTGGAAGGGGGATCAAAGGAAGGATGTCAGACTCAGATGAGGTGGAAAAAGAAGGACGAACAGAGGAAAGTTTTTCAACAAGCAGCGGTGGGTGGCATCTAGGCCATGTGAGTCGGGTGTGTGACTACACTAGATTTTTAAAACTCGGATACGATACTCCATATATACCAACAATATGGATACCTGCTCTGATACCACAGCAACAAAAATAGATGTCCTAGGTACCCATGTGAGTGCTGCTTTTGATGGTAGACGAGATGAATTAAATGATTCCAATTTAATTATTCCATTAGGAACAATGTTGTTGTGTCTGGAGTCCTCACAATGTCATAGATTTCTCAGGGTACATCAAATCAATTTTGAGTGCATCCTCTCAGCTAAAACAAACAAGGATAGATAGAGTAGCCACATAACCAAACATCACTTTCAAAATGTCTTTTTGTAAGTCAATCTTCTTGTACCTTTATATGGGAGGCCTCTCGGCCATTTAACTGGAGCAACAAATCATTGACCTTATCAGAACATTGCAACATGGGCTTCTGTGATTTTAGATTTCAGGCAAATAGCACAAGCAGATTAGGTTGACTGGAGATTGTATCTGTTCATGAGCAGGGTGCACATGCAAAGATTGTTTAACAAGTTCTTCTTTGTCCTGTTTCCCAGTAGTGGACAGTATTTCTCTCATTCCTTAAATCTCTTTGTCCAAATCTATCATCTGACCTGCCCCATGAGCAATTCCACAGCTTCTACAGTAAGTACGGTTCCTGAAGAGTGTTAAAAAAAACAGGAGGGGAACCCTTTTACTTTGTAGCAAATCCAATGGAAAGACTCTGCAATAAATAATACTTTCATTAAACATAACATCTTTCTTAAAATGTTGAAGTTTAAGTTTCCTGTGCTTTTACTTTAAAGTGTCTTTTTCATTTGTTTTCGTCCACAATATGTAGATAAAGTTAAAATCAAAAACTACAGTATAATTCACCTTCTGTGAATGTAATGATTGGTTAAGGGAAATTACGGTGATTTTAGCAGTAAACTGTGAATATAGCAGTAAAAGTAAAATGAGCAGAGAAACATAATGAATGCAGTTTCAGGACACCAGTCACGTTTGCTGTTGAAACCTTAAAGAGAAGTTTAATGTTTGCGACTTTCTTCTTTCATTTGTCACCCACAGACATTTCTTTCTTACTTCCATTTACCTGATCTAGTGTTTTGAAGAGGAGGATGTCTCGGCAGGCCTCCTGCAGTCTGCAGCGCTGTTCATCTGTTTTTGGATGGACCACTCTGGGCTCCGTGTCCTCATCATCCTCGTCTGGGTTGAACGCCTCTGCACACACTGGAGGAGAGACATTTACTCAGTTAACACATTGCATTAGCAGTTCAAGTATAATTACATCAGGTATTGTACACATTATCTATTTGAAAGTAGATACTTTTTGAGCCTAAGGCCTCTAAGCCTTCTTCGTCAGTGCAAATCACTCAATGTTTAATGGGCAAATAAATGGGCTTAAAACCAGCTGTTAACATGTTGGTTTCAATCTGTACTTTTTTGCTATTATGTTGCAAAATCACTTCTTTAAGAAAGTGATTAAGTACTTTGGCTCACAGCAGTGCTTTTGAATTTTATTAAGATTGTGTACAACGTTTGCATTAGGCTTCCTTTTCCTATTCAGCCTCGGCCAATCACGCTTTATGTTTGGGACCAGAAAGCAGGTTATAATGAAGCGCGTTGTGGCTGTGAAGTCAACAATCATACTGTATGTTCAATTGGCGAACATTTCTGCCCAAATCACATGCTTTTTTGTCCCTTTAGGCGCACCATGGATAAGCCTCCGCAGTGTCTCCCTTTAGTCACAGTGATAATGCTCAGACAGCTCAGTTAACCAGTCCAAAGTAAAATCCACCTTATGACATCAAACATTTAACTGTTTTTTTACTGTTCCTTTAAGCTTTGTTCACTGTTGGCTTTGAGGGACGGACTAACATTTATTGACATGACTTCAACAATTGGCCTGAAAAAAAGGAAAATGTAGTGGTTTATCTTCTAACTGAAGTACTGTAAATAATGACACTTCAACAATAACAGATACTCATAGCAGTAAGGCGCTAATCTAAATACAAACTCTGCAAACCACACTAGACAGATATCATCAAAGTGACATACAACTTTGATGCATATGAAGATGTGACAGTAACAAAACAAACTGAACACAATTTTAAAAGATGAACAAGGTGATGAAAGCAGATGAGAGATGAAAACCACACTCGCACAGAGTTCAGGGAAAGATAATATGTTACACAAGCACACACACAAGGAAGACGTTGTACTACATACAGGCAACAGACATCAGTAAAAAAAAAAAAAAAAAAGAGGACATTATTTCTGCAAGGCATTGAAGAAAGCCAGAACTTAGGAAGACATTTTTTTCTAACCACAGTGGATGCCAAGCACCATGGAGTGGAGACTCTAAATCATCTATGATTGCACGCATACAAGCACACACCTACAAAAAAAACATGCATGCAGTTAGTTCGCTCAACTAATGTACAGAGGTTCCGGCCCTTGAACTGAACGGCCCGGGTTCAATTCTAACCTGTAGCTCCTTTCCTGCATATCACTCCCCACTCTCTCTCTCTCTCTCTCTCTCTCCCAGAATTCCTTCTCTAGCCACTGTCCTCTCCGGCAAAAGAAAGGGTTGATCAGTTTGAAAACACAGGTAGTATAAATATAATGCTCATCATATCACATAGGAGGGTCTACGTCTCTTTCTGAATTTACTAGAGCTGGACAGGACCTAAAAATATTAAAGGGACAAACCAGTATGGCTTCCCACTGGCACAACATTTGCCATAAAACAAAGACTTATTGACTATTGTATATTTCACCATGTTTTATATAATTGATCTCTAGGTATATAGTGAGGAGTAAAGGTTTTGCTTGCTGGTTAAATCATCTTCTCTTTTGACACCTTGTTGATATTTGGGCTTTAAAAAAAGACCTGTCCATAAAATGAATACATTAGGAATAACAATTGAGAAGAACAAAACGGGAATTAATAAAAATGTATGTACTTAATCCTTCTCTTTTTGGGTTTAACTGTGCAAGATTATTGTTTCTACAGTTCGTATTATAATTAAGTTAATAACGTACTTCATTTAATTTAATATTCAAACATAGTTCAAGTAATCAATCACTGTAAAAAATCTTTAATATATCATTTAATTATGTTTTTTTATTTTATTTCATTCTTAATCCTGAAATACAGTGATATTCTAGTTGAATTTATACGAAGAGACAGTACTTGGAAGAGTGTGCATTAAAAATCATGTCCACAGAACTCTTTGCATCTGGTTCACTAGATTCTCATTGGACAATTGTTGGAACTCACTTGGGAAATAAAGAGTGTAGAAAGAGGCCCTCCTTGACAACTCAGAGCGATGACACATAATACATCCGACAAATCCCACTAAGGAAATAAATTGTTCTCTTATTGCACTCTGTACATTAAGTGACCAGAGAAACAAAAACACCGGGCTAGTGTAATGCAATACAGCAGCCCTCTGTTAAGTACCACCACATGCAAGAATAGAACAATCTCACATCTTGCTGAAGTTGTACTTAATACCCAGATCACGTTTGGGTAAAGTAACAAGTGCAACAATGGAGATTTCTGTCAAAAACAATAACAGCTGCTAGTAACGCTAGTAGTCAGAGGTAGAACTGGCTTTAAACTTTGCTGACTGGCTGGTACAAAGTTTTTTCTTTAAGTTCAGTTGTATAGAAAACATTGTTTTAGTAGGTGTTTTGTTAATCAATTATGTTTTTATGATTTAGCAATAAGTTAAGACACATATAATGCAATCCAATGAAGTACTACTAGTAAATTGTAAATTCACACTTCTTTGATTGTGTCAATAATAAATATGAAAAGATTCATTATGTTATATACATTACAGAAATGTCTGGATTGCATTACGATGTACATGGTATTCTGTGTTACACTTAAGGGTAACTGCACTTTTCACATAAGCTACGTGGTTTTATTTCGAAATAAAACGGATGACTTTGGACAGATATACGTTTAGATAGTTAAAAGAATCAATCGAGTATGGTAGGTTTGTGTTCACACTGATCAAATAAACTGGGCTTTAGGGTTAAGTGTACTCGGATCCAGGCCCGGGTCCCTAGTGTGAAACCACCCTAAGTGTTTCTGGCAGATTTAGCAATACTACCTGCTTGTGTTCCTGCAATATGGCATTCAAAAGAACTTGATGAAAATAATAGCAAAAAGTGTTTTTCAAGGACTTTTCAAAATCACACAGAAGTTGATCCTTTTGGTTTAAAAAAAAAAAAACCTTCTCTTCATCATATTATCCAGTCAGACATTTCTGCAAAATCTTGCCCTAATTAGCAAATTCATTTTTGAGTTGAGGCCACAAAGGTTTTTTTTTTTTTTTTAAATCAAGATAATTACATTTTTTGAATTTTCAAAAAATGTGTGCTAAGTGTCTTTCCTCCAAGCTTTTCTGAGATATTAAATTAACAATAAACTGGCTAACAGTAGTGAAAACTGAAACACATAATGCCTCAGCCCTGGCTGTCACAGTGCACATCAATTAAAAACATGCCGCAGCAGCCGAGACACAAGACCGGCTTGTCGGCAGCAGCCGTCTCACCGCTATATTGCTGGCCATAATGACTTTCGACTGTCGCCAGCGGTGAGGACGAGGAGCCGGGGCCGGCTCGAGCTGGGGCAGACTGGCAGTGTCGGTGCTCTCACTGTTTGCCTATGGACACAGACATAGAGCCTGTTTTCTGCCAGGAATTTCCAAGATGTCAATTCCTTCTGGAAGGAATCTCGGAGTCAGTTGAGGAAACGGCCTTATTGTAGTAATATGTCTGTAAATAGAGGGCCTTAGTGGGAGTGGCCTGCAGTGCTGTGCATTCTGGGAGTTGGTGTCTTTCATCAACATGAGCCAAATTGACACTTTCTGCCTTTTCTCAGCCAAGAAGACACCAACTTCAAATTTTATTTCACATTTCTACTACAGATATGACCCACTGGCAATACAGATTCATGTTTCAACTGGTCAAGTATCCCTTTAAAGTCAAAAAGGGATGTTTTTCCTTTTAATCTTCTTAGTTTAAGATAATTTCAAATGTGTTTTCCTGAGAAACACAACTCACTTAAAACAAAATCTTCTTTCATGTACAGGAATTTAAACAGACCTCTGTAATAATATCTATGAGAAAAACTGTGATCAACAAAATGACGCTTGTAGGAGCCAATTTAGTGTGTGTGTATTTATGTGTTTTATTTCTATGGCTTTAGTTTATATGTTTATTTATGTACTCAATTTGGACACTAGGTGGTGATAATTGATCATTTGAGTTAATTGGTCAGGTGGTTGGTTGAGTGTTTATATGTCACAGGTGAACAGGAAACGGGGGCATAGGTGGTGGGAACATACGGTTCTTACCATAACAGAACGTAACACAGGATAATGCAAGTATGCTATTTAACATAACAAAAGAACGACAACAGTAAAATCTCGGAAATAACAACTCATGTCATCATAGCGGTTTGTCTCTGCTTCATATGTGACAATAAGCTGGAACATCAGAAAGTACTTTAATTTTGGATATTTGTTTATTTTTTATGCGTCAAGAACTTTCCATACACCTATGCAAGTGACTAAAGGCAAGATAAAAAATTTGGACATTAGATAGTCACTACAACGCTCTTTGTTGTTGTATTAACACAATTTCTCTTCAGGGCTCAAAAGGGATCATTATGTCTCACAACATTACCTCAGCAAAGAAGGTCAATTCGTAAAACGGAACATTTATGTCAATTGTCAACAGAGAAACTTGAAATCACTGTGTTAATCTGTTCAAATAAGGGTCCAACAAATGGAACAAATTAACACAACACACTCTTCAACAACCTTTATGGCGCTGCGGTACAGACAGCAGGGACAACAGAGACAGTAGGACAGCAGTAAAGATAAACATCAGGTGACACACCCAGAGCCTAATCAAAGTGCAGCTCTCTGTGACGGCTGACGACATTCAATTACTCATGTGTAAACAGTAGACGGCTACGACCAAGCGTGAGAAAACAAGCGCAGCACACACACAGGACCACAGGCGCCAACACAGACATAGAAGGGCGCACACAAACCCCAACACACCACAGAGATGCTTTTTAACACTGTTTTACATGAATGACATACGTAAGAACAGTCATTATGAAAACACTGCCTAAACAGTGTTTGACATCAGTGACGGGGAAAGACACGAATCAGCAAGTTTCCCACCAGGCCTCAAAATGCATGACACACTCAATAACGCACACAAAAGCAGCAGGTGAGCCACTCAGGCAGTGATGTATGCAATTTTGTCTCTCATGTGGATAACACTTAAGGGGCATGACGACACACGCACACGCGCACACACACACGCGCACACACACGCGCACACACACGCGCACACACACACACACACACCTTACCTGACACTCTCCTGTTGAATCTGCTGGGTGGTGGAGCTGTGGACAGAAAGAGAGAAGGAAGAGGACATTTTTAGTGGCTTTAAAATCCACAATACATGACAGTATATGCTCTGAAAATAAATTGTTCATAAGTATAAGTCAAAGAAGGGACAACATATAGATGGACTGTGTGACGGCCAGCTTTTGACAGAGAATGATATGGCCGAACACATGAAAGCAACAAGAGGTAACAAGTTATTAAGTAGGAACGGAATGTATAACGTAAATAAACATTAAAGAAAAAAATGTGTAGGAAAGACCAAGAGAATATATGAAAACCTTTATATGTTCAATTCTGAATAGTTTAATATACTTGAATGCTACTGTGAACAGTTGTTCCAGCATTCAGCATTTCAAGCAAACACAAATACACACATGAAAAGACAACAAGCTATGGTCAAGCTCGGCAGCAATAATCAAACAAGGATTGCCTGTGGCAAGACAGATATGCAATGAATAATGTAGCAGGTCATAGCAGAAATTAACCCAGAAAGAGGGATGAAAGACCCTAACACCTCTAAGGGACGAATAAATGATCCAAATATAATTTCATGTCTTGGGTTAAAATAGATGGTGTTCGCTATTTTGGTTGGAACTGCATCAATTGCAACAGTAAACTTTGCAGCCTAATAAGCTGTTATAATTGACATTTAACTTTCATTTTTATTGAAAGTACTGTGAGAAAGGATAAACAGACAACATGAATCACTCTAACAATGCTACTGCCCATACCGTGTACCGTTTAGTGTCTACTTCATGTCTGCCTTCTTCAAAAGACTTGAATTCCATGTCATCCAGCTCTTTGTGGCCTTTGACTTCTCTCATTTATTCTTAGCATCTACCTTTCCTCCCCCTGTTATCCATGGTGACATTAGGCTTTTAGAAATAAAATTGTGCAGCTCACATTCAATTTGACAGGACTCTTTCTGCGGTTTGATTTGGTAAGATGTAGTTCTAAAATTGGGTAAGACGGGTTCTGCATCCATAGCAACAAAAGCCGTTTCACATTTGCACTCCTGAAAACTCCGAGAAAATTTCAGGAGGACTGCTCCTAAAATCCTCCTGACCCGTTTGTTCACACATGCACCTCCAAGCAGGAGACAATCCCTGTCGGACTTGAGTGAGGGTGGAGGGTCTCCTGAGGCAAGATATGACATAAAAAGAACAGAGAGGAAGTGGCAGACTAAATAACAGAGTCCATTGTACAACATCTTAGCGGTTGCATGCATACAGTCTTTAGTCCTGCACCAATCACAGGGAATAAAGATCACCACCCCCTACCACTTGCTCGAGGTGAAATGTCTTGAATATTTCCTGCTGCGTTCTCACATAACCTCACCCAAACTTTCTCCGGAAAAAGTACTAGGGGGCTGGCAGGAGAAACTCTGGATAAACTCTGTAAGAAAAATTCAGCTGTTTGTGTTCACACATAAAGCTCCTTCTGCAAATATCAGGAGTTTTTATGAAAGTGTGAAAGCCCTAAAAGTTATTCATTGCAATTATTCTGCTTTACAGAAATAACCAATAAGCAGCAATAATTACATAGAGCTGTGCAGTAAGATTTAATTAATGAATCAAATAATAAATCATCTAAAAGTTAATAACAACTCAAATATTTATGAGGAATTAGTATGAATTAAACTGGGGCTTCATTGCAGCAAACTCTGGACATTTTGCATAATACATTAAGCACTCTGAATCAGCGACATTTCTTTTTCCAAATATCAGCAGGAACCCTGTCCTTAACTTTGAACACGGGTGCCAACTTATCCTGTCTGTGTTCATAACAAATTGACAAAGAGGTTAGCGGTTTGTTTACATTTTGACTTGACAGGCAGACTTGTCTGTGCCAGTGTAGCAAGCCTCAAGCTGTTAGGATGCCCTGTTTTGATGTGCAGATGCTGTTGGGATACATAACGTTACTGAGCAACAACAAGGATGGTAAATCTGATGTCTCTGCTATTAAATTCTGCATTCAAGAAGCTCTTAACAGAAGGCACCTTCCCAACTGAAGTGTTTCCTTGAGCAAAACACAGAACCTGGAGAACTGATGAGTAACTGACTGGGATCTTTGACTCCGTTATAGATTTCTGCCAGGGAATTACAATTATAAACATAGTGAAATAAATGAAAACAGTCTAATGGATGATGCTTCTCTGTAAAAGAAAAACTACTCTCTAAATCTATTTTAGTCCCAATGAAACGGAACTCAGAGAGTTTCTAACTGTTGAATACAACCAATCACAAGATAGAAGGTGGGACATGACATTGGGGTGAATTTGATTGGATCATTAGCTTCAACCAAGCTTTTAAATTGGTCCAAAAAAAACTGCCCTAGAGTGCAGCATGAGCCATCAGACAATTATAATGTTTAAAGGAAGACAAAATACAGATACTTGATGTAAAAATACTAAGATAATGCTGTATTAAAATATCTTGCAATGCAGATAACTGTCACATTGTTGATGGGTAACCAGTCTTACCAATCATTAATTTTTTGCTACTTAACCGGGCTAATCCAGAACAAAAACTTCATAACAATGGTGCAATAAATGTTCAGACGTCATCCAACTTAGCCCCATGAGTACAGACCAACACTGCAAGGTTTCTACTGAACTGGCTCCAGACAGGGAACGGAAAAACCTTAGAGTTGAGGCATTGTTGTCTATCTAGGACAATTTATAAGAGAAGTTTGAAGCACTAGATGTTGAAGTACACTGAAAAACATGTTAAATCTGAGTTCAAAGTAATTAATTAAAACAATTGTTTTAATGTCATTAACAATTCTGTAATAAAACATTCTTTCCATGCATCATTTTCAAGATGATGATAGAACACGACTTTAACCACGCAAACACAGGGAAAACATCCTGTATAAGACAGAGGGTGCTTCCTGCCTGGAAATGTCTAAACAGAAGCTATAATCGAGTTTAATTTCTGTTCATGATTTCAGTGCCATCCAATTGAGACTGGACAACATTCATCAGAGTGGAGGCAGTCCAGAAGGCCACTGCCGGATATTAATATGCATAAGGGATAAAAAAGCAGCAAGTCAAGGAAGAATTGATTGTGTACAGAAGGGCTGTATTTTTGTGTTTGCATCGAACAATGCCCGAGTGTGTTTTACAGTGTCATAGAAGCATGTGTGTTTGTATAGTCGATTAAGTGCATGGATTCTGGCCTTCCACAGAATTTGTGTGCCTTCTAAGAAGTGTTCGACTCCTGACCCTGTGTGTTGCAAGGTGTTAATTTAACCACACAAGTGAAGTCATAGTATCAAACACCTGCTTCCTAACACTGGGCTGTTACTAGCCAGCATGGTCAAGGTGCACTACTGCCACAAACACACACATATATGAAAAGTCTGTGTGTTCATTGCTACCTTATTACCATCCTGTCAGAGCCCATTAGATCTAGACTGTGAAGATGGGAGTCAGGGGAAAACTCACACACAGACACCACTTTTCCCTGGTCAGCTGGGGAGATGGACATAGTTGTGAACATTTCGTTACTCATTGAAGTTTTATTCCAAGGCATATGGGAAATACATATTCACTTCTACATTTCATCTCTAGTGGTATGTATGTATGTTTCATCTCTAGTGGTAGGTATATATCTAATGTGTAAACTCTAACATACCACTTGTGCAGACTCATTTGGCATCAGCCTTACTTCAATGAACTTTCATTCTCCTTGCCAACATATAACACTTTAAAGGGGCTATATGTAACTGTCAAAGATACTGCGTTTGTAGCGATACCGCATGGCCGTTAGGGAAACTGCACCAGTAACCTGTTGCTCGCTCTCCCTCGCATGCTCGTCATACGTGCTCGTACGTACACAAACGAGCATCATCATCGTCCGTGAAACACTGGATATTTACCGGCATAATGTTTACAGAGGAGGTAAGTGGTCATAAACATGTGAAAGTCTGTGAAGGAGTCTGTGTGTCTGTATTCATTCTCCATCCTACAAACGACAGTCTCTGCAGGCACTGGCTGAGAGCAGGAGTGTGTGATGAGTTTGTCCGCCTTTGAGAGCTCCTAGAGCGGATAGAAGTGTGTGGAAGGCGACCTCTGGCTGTGGAGGTGAAGACCGGGAGTGTGTGATGAGTTTGTACTGTTGATCTGTGTAAGCGGAGCGGAGTGAGGAGGACGTTGAGAACGTGCATAAAATGTCACTTCCTGGAGTTTTCGCGGAAAATACGACCCAGGGAAACTTTTTATACAGCCAACACAGATAGACAGTGAACATCTACTTTTTCACATCAGTTAACCGTTCGCGTATTAATGGGCGATAAAAAATGATTAAAAAAGTTACATATAGCCCCTTTAATGTTACGAAAACACAAGTTCAGAATTTCCAATATGACATTCACCAAATCATTTACAAACAAAAAACAGGCCAAACACCAAATAAACTTGATGATGCAAGATAATGATTTCCCTGCAGGCTATGGTACACTCTGACCATTAAACGATCATTATAAAGCTAAAACATTGTTCTGTCATGTCTCTGTGCAATCTCTCTGTTTATCAGAAGACTCAGTAGTTAATAATTATGAACAAGGAACAGCTCATCCTCACCTTATTTATTAGTTAAATAAGGTGAGGATGCATTGACACTCTTACAAAATAAGTTAGAATTTTAAGACAAAATTTCCATAGAAAAATAGAAATGGACCTGCACATTCTTTGACTGTCTCTATACTTAAAAGCTCTTTTTTCCAGTCTACATTCAGAACAGTTCATTCATCTCCTCTATGTCTGAGTAGAACTCAACTCAACTCAACTGATTTTTTTAAGGATGAAAGAAATCTCTGAAACCTGTTTGGTTGCCTGCCAACCATTACTGGCACACAAACTTCCCAGCCACAGTCAAAATAAAGTAAAGAATGACGAGAAAATTATTCAAATATTAGATCTGTGCATCGTCATCTCTTGCCTTTTAACCAAGTTCCTGCAGGTAGAACTGTATGGTGGCAGACGGTACAACCA